CTCGAGAAAATCAGGGTGGATTCATAGACCACATTTTCACACTACGTTAGGTCCTAGAACAAAGACACGCGTTCAGACTTTACACAATAGTTTTATCTCTAGACCGTAAGGTGTCGTTTGACTCTAACGATCGTGGGGTTCTATGACAGTATCTGTCATTGAGATGAGTACCACAGAATTACATTAACCTTATAAAAGCTCTTGACTCCAGCACTACTGGCTGAGTCAAAGCTTATGGCAAACTGTCATCGGAATTGATTACTTTAAGTGATGTTCGTCAGATTACCATACCGGAATATACTTCTCGAATTACATTTTCGAAGCCTAATCTTTTCGATTATTGCTTGTTATTCTACTACCTCTACCACTACGGGATTTGAATTGACATTCGCATAACTCTGTGCGATTGTAGTATGGCAACTTGAATTGATGTATGTCCGTACAAATTTCTTCGTTGCTCAACAGATATGTTTGTTAATTCTAAGTATCATACGAACTAAATATATCAAAAGATGCAAATCATCTGTCTTCGGATTTTGATTTTCGCGCAACAATCGAAATTTTTACCTTGAACCTGATTGGTTCATTGATAGAGCACATAGTTTAACTGCAGTTCTGTTCGGCAGGTAAAACTCCAATATTTAATAAGGTTTTATTTTCAGGCAGAGTTTTGGTGGTTTGTGTTTTTACACATTTGAAACAATCAATCAATCATTATTAGACCACCATTAGAAACCTGGAATCACTGGAGAGCCGTTTCGTCCTGGTATGGGACTCATTAGTGGCAGTGCGTTTCTACGACTCCTGCCCCTCGCAGGATTCGAATCCGGGACCTTCGATATTGTGCTCGAAGGCCTAACCATCGGACCACTGTGCCGGCATCCAATGGTGTTAATGTCTAACTCTGAGTGATCAAGGGGTTTTGCACGACCTCATCCATTTGTCTTTTGTAGTAGTTACTGCCTACACCCGACAGGGTTGAACTCCATTGGTCATGACGTCTTTTCAACTGGAACCCTGAGAATTTCCTCACGAAGCTAATGGTGGTCTAATAATGATTGATTGATGATTTCAAGGAGGTTTTATTTCTTGTTATTGAACCATAGTCCTATTGATAACTTTCATACTAAGCATATCAGTATTGAATTATCTTATTTTTATAGTTTCTTTTTGTTTTTTCTTTCACAAATTCAAGATCCTGAAGTTCATCCTCAACCGGAATCTTATTGGGGTAATGTAAATCCAATCGGTCCAAGAGCTTGTTATGATGAAAGTAAACGACTTGGTGAAACAATGACTTATGCTTATTTTAGACATGTATGTTTTTAATTTTTATCCATAGTACAGCATGATAAATATTCATCATATTAATATACATATATTTATATTCCCGTGTCAGCGGGAATCAAACTCCGAACCTTCGGTTTCGTTCACCTCTAGACCACTGAGCTGGCATTAATATCTAGGGCTATAATGAGTAGCATATAAATGTGCTCACTGATAACTAGCTTCGTGAGGAAATTCTAGGAGTGTTCTAGTGAGAAGCCATAACTAGTGAAGGTCAACCTAGTCGGGTGTAAGCAGTAACTACCGAAGACAAATGGGTGAAGTTGCGCAAAATCCCTAGATTGATCAGAGTTAGACATTAACACCGTTGGATGCCAGGTCCAGTGATCCAGAGATTAAGAGCTTACTAGCGCAAGATTGAAGGTCCTGGGATCGAATCCTGCGGATAGCAGGATTTCCATTACTGATATGTCCCATCATAGGATGGAACGACTGTCAAGTTCTTCCAAGTTTCAAATGGTGGTCTAAAAATGATTCAGTCACGATTTCAACTATCATAATTCTCTAACCGAAAAGATATCAACAGATGAAACAGATTTCTACTACAAAATATTCTACACACGTGAAATCATCAATCAATCATTGTTAGACCACCATGAGAAACCTGGAAGCACTGGACGGCCGTTTCGCCCTGGTATGGGACTCATCAGCAGTGCGCATCCACAACTCCTGCTCCTCGCAGGATTCGAACCCGGGACCTTTGGCATTGTAGGCGAACGCCTTACCCTCGGAGGAGTCGTGGATGCGCACTGCCACTGATGAGTCCCATACCAAGACTTGACGGCCATCCTGCAGTGCTTCCAGGTCTCTTCTAATGGTGGTCTAACAATGATTGATCGATGATATTTCAAATGTGTAAAAACGCAAACCTCCAATACTCTGCCCCAAAATACAAACTATTCATTGCAAAACTAACCATAATTATAATATCATAAGTGATTAAACAAATTCAATTTGACTCTTTCCAATCACAGAAGATTTTATCCAGCCAATGAAGAACTAAGAGGTCAAGTAATGTTGATTTAACCTAATTATTCATGTGTTTTCCATGTTTAGTAAACAGTTAGTCTATTTCTCATTGTATGATTAATTTAAGGATATAAAGTTGACCATATAGTGAGTGAGCAGACAACAACAATAATAATAGTTGAGTAAACAAGTTCACACTTGTCAATATGACTGAAAGCCTACATTTGTTAGTGTTACAGTAATAAACAGGTTTTACTGGCTGGCTCATCATGGTCCTAGTGTAATTTGTACATGAGAAACCTAGAACTGAAGTGAAGTGAAGTGAAGGCGAGTAGGCCAAACTACATGTGTGATGTTTTAGCATGACTAACTAACTAACTAACTAACTATGTAGTTCAGACTAGGAATAATATAAGCTCTAGATAGATATATGTAACAGGCGAACTACACACAATCAAGATTATTAGAAACGCAAAAACTTGACAAGGTCACAAAAGATGTGTGAGTAAAAACAACACACACACACACGAAAAGAATACATAATCTCAATGATTACAGTTTGTTTTGTCTTTTTTCACACAATTCCTAAGTTTCGTTTTTAGCTATATCTCTTGTTTGAACATCTCTTCACAGTTAGTCATTATCAAAGACAATATATACAACATATTCAGTAATCTAATAATTTCAGTTTACTGTTTAATATTTTTATATTCAATCAGATAAAGATGTTGATTTTTAGTAAAGTAGAAGAATAACATGAGTAGTTAATTGTAGTAGGAGTGAAAAGTTCACAATGTGAAAAATTATAAACAAGTGTAGGTGAATGAATGAATGAATAGTTAGTTTGATATTCAGTGTTTGTTTATTCAATGTAAACATAAAAGTACAATTGTAAATGTGTTGTTTTTTTTACAAAAAAAGTAGTCAAATGTGTAAGTGAATTTGTAATTTTATCAATTACATAGTTGTAATAGATAAACTATGCATGTGCATTAAACCGGTGGAACATAGAGATCGCGTCTAGGTCGCTGACTAGTATTCTCCAACCTACACTCTGTCCTCGGCCATCTTTTCCAGTTATACCCTATTGCTATTCATTCCCTTCATGTTTGCTTCCAGTTCTCAACATAATGTGTTCTTAGAGCTTCATCTCTTCCTTTGGCCTTGAGGATTCCTAGTGATATCGTGTCTAGTGAAGCAGTTAGGTGCTTTCTTCTTCTGCTGGAATCTGGTTTGTTCTCTTCCACATTACGTTCTTGTTGATGGTGTCTAGCTAAGTGACCTACAGGATCCACGTTGATCAAATGGTAAATAATTAATTTTGATAGTTTATTCATCACACAAAACGCAGAGTCTACTGACTACCATAAGCAACAATGCAAGCATGTTTGGGATGTAGTTCTCACCCTCAAAAGACAAAGTGTTACTTCAAGAATGGCTTGCATCGGCACCTGAACTGGATCGATGGGCAGAACACTTAAGGGTTCAGTTCAACTGGCCTCGAGCCACTCTTCAGTTACCTCATCCTGAATGGCAAATCGACCTAAGTCCCCCTAGTCTTAATGAAGTTGAAAAAGCGTTAGGAAATCTGAAGCGAGGACGAGCTGCGGGTCCTGATAGACTGACCCCTGAGATATTTAAGGATGGTGGTCCAGTTTTAGCAGCTAGATTGACTGAGATCTTAGGTAGAATCTGGGAACTGGACGTAATCCCATCCGACTGGTCTCAATCACTGATTGTCCCAATCTATAAGAAAGGACAGAAGTCTTCTTGTGACAATCACAGAGGAATAAGTCTAACTAATATAGTATCTAAAATATTGGCCTCAGTAATACTTCGACGCTTAACGAAAGCTCGTGAAGAGCAAACTCGAGAAAACCAGGCTGGTTTTCGACCTGGACGTGGTTGTATAGACCACATTTTCACACTACGACAGGTCCTGGAACACAGACACACATTTAGGCGTCCTACAATAGTTGTTTTCCTAGACCTTAAGGCGGCATTTGACTCTGTGGATCGCAAGGTTCTGTGGCAGTGTCTGTCATTGAAAGGTGTACCAAAGAAGTACATTAACCTCATACAAGCTCTCTACTCGAACACCACTGGTCGAGTGACAGCTTATGGCGAAGTCACCGGAATTCTTTACTTCAAGTGGTGTCCGTCAGGGATGTCCAATTTCTCCATTCTTGTTTAATTTTATCATAGACATGCTCCTAGAAATAACCTTATCCTCGTCTGAATTTTCTGGAGTAGACCTTTTACCGGGTGGCTCGCTTATTGACTTAGAATATGCCGATGACATTGTCATACTTGGTGAAAACGCTGACAAACTGCAGAGTCTTCTGACTACCATAAGCAACAATGCAAGCATGTACGGGATGCGGTTCTCCCCAACGAAATGCAAAATGTTGCTTCAAGATTGGGTTTCATCGGCACCTGAACTAGTGATAGGGAGTGAAGTGGTCGAACGTGTAGACCGCTTCACTTATCTTGGGAGTCTCATCAGTGGTGATGGCCTGGTGACTGACGAAATCTCGGCACGGATACAGAAGGCTCGATTGGCTTTTGCCAACCTGCGTCACTTATGGCGTAGGCGAGATATCCGTTTGCTGACTAAAGGACGAGTGTACTGTGCAGTGGTTCGCTCCGTCTTACTTTATGGCTGTGAAACATGCCCAATGAGAGTAGAAGATACTCGTCGGTTATTGGTTTTCGATCATAGGTGTCTTCGAAGCATTGCTCGTATATCGTGGGACACCCGAGTTAGCAACGCTGTTATTAGGAAACGGGTGCTAGGTAAGGTTGGCAGATCAATAGATGAAGTAATGAGACTTCATCAGTTGAGGTGGTTGGGACATGTGTTGCGTATGCCTAACCACTGACTGCCTCGGCGAACTATGTTTTTTGGTGTATAAGTAGGTCGAAAGAAAGTTAATGGTGGCCAAACCAAAACAGCAGAAATGCATGAAGTCACTGACAAGTGGACTGAGTCATGTTGGTAGATGTAGGCTACCTGGTTGGTGTCCGCGAGACGAAAGCAATCGATGGTTAGAGACCTTGAACGATATGACTCTAAATCGTTTGCAGTGGCTCAGGTGCATCCATTCTTTGTGTTCTCTCAAATCCTAACTTTCTGAATTCCTTCTCATCTCTATCATTCTCTTTCTAAAGTTATCTTACTGAATTATACTTCTTCAATAATATCTTCGAACTCTAATATTCTCCATTACTGCTAATACTTCTATTATCGCTACCACTATGTGATTTGAACTGACATTTACGTCTCTGTGCTAATGCGGTGTGGCAAACTGAATTGATGTACGTGCGTACGAATTTCTACGTTGTATCTGTCTGTCAGTGTTTGCTCTATCCATCACAACTATGTAATTGATAATTTACAAATTCACTTACACATTTGACATTTTTTTTTAAAAAAAACACACATTTACAATTGTACTTTTATGTTTACATTGAATGAACAAACAACTAACATTCATTCACTGAATGAATATCAACTAACTATTCATTCATTCATTCACCTACACATGTAAACTTTCATTTATTTTATTGATAATTTTTCACATTGTGATCTTTTCACTCCTACTGTAGTGAAGGAGAACACCGGTGGGGCAACCGGATCGTATTTAACGAAAATTACAGAGTTACTCAGTAAAATCGGAACACCATATCGTAAATCGTTCATTTGCAAAATATCACTTCATCATCATATCGAACTGGACTGTTGTTCCTGTTGCAAAACATCAATCCATTGTCTGACATTTCACTGTTCATGCGTTTCATACAAATTCCATTGTTTTCTAACTCTTCCTCCTTTCATGATCTTCCACCCCATCTTCGGCTGCCAGACATTACGTTGACGCTCACGTCATATACTATACTTATAAGTAGCTCGCACCACACTACTACAATTAACTACTCATGTTATCCTTCAACCTTACTAAAAATCAACATCTTCATCTGATTGAATATAAAAATATTAAACAGTAAACTGAAATTATTAGATTACTGAATATGTTGTATATTGTCTTTGATAATTTTGATAATGACTAACTGTGAAGATGTTCAGACAAGAGATATAGCTGAACGAAACTTAGGAATTATTTAAGAAAATCTTATTTATTGAGGTTAATTTCAAATACAATTTTCATAAATAATGTTCCCCTTTGAATACTCGGTGCCTAAATTTTTTGTCAAACTATTCGTTCAAACAGTATTGAATATGTTTATGGATTAGCGACACGCTATTGTTATTCTTGAAACTATTATGAATTCACCTTGCTCGGTAATGAAGAGCGAAGAAAAATGATACAGTGACACGATAAACTATCTTGATTCGATTTTTCCCGGCCCTACTAACTATATCAAGAAGTTTTGATAAGGCTTAGAAGTGTATTTATTCTACAAGCACCCAGAAAATACAAGGTTGACAAGCACATAAATCGAGTTTATTTGTGCATAATAGAAATGTCCTTTGGTGAGCCACAAAAATAGCGTAACAAAATAATACATCAATTAATGACGGACAAGGATTTTCTGATTGGGAAATGTAATCCCAAGGTCATTTATGCAACTCATGCGCGAAAACACAAAAATCCAAAATTAGGATCTTTTCTGGGGATCTAACGGCCACAACAGCTATGTTGGTTAAACAGTTCAGTGAGTATACACCACAGGGTAGAGGGATTGGTTTCCCTCCCCCACCCCTCAATACTTAATCGTTGAATATTCGAATGACTAAATCATTCCATTGGAAATTTCTGTTATGATATGCGATGTTTCATATCTGGACTCAATACGCGCTAACTCTCCAAATTAAATACTTGAGTGGAAGAGAAAATCTGTTGGTTTCCCAATAATATACATATATACTCATTTATGTGCATGCACTTCACCTTAGAAAATAAATCTATTTCTTAACCAATGAACATACATTTGTCCTTTAGTATATTTTCAATTGTCATCAAGTGACCTTCTTGTTCAGTCACTTTTGATTGGCTGACTAAGTTTGTATTTTTTTCTGATCTATGTGTTAACTTAATTGATTGGACAGTTAATTTATATCGCTCAACTAAATGATAATTGTGTTTTTTTTTAAACGCAGCTTAATCTTCCTGTCAGAGTTGCTCGTATATTCAATACTTATGGACCTAGAATGCAAATTAATGATGGTCGAGTAGTGACCAACTTCATAGCACAAGCATTGAACAATGAATCGATAACGGTAATTAACACACACACATACACACACATGTGTGTGTGTATATATTTTCCCAGATAAAAATTTTTTCTCTATATCACGTCATTTAAACGATCATTTAACTCGAATCTACTAAATGGTATTTATTCGTTTTTATCTAAATGCTCACTGGACAGTTAGGACGCAGCTGGACGATCTGGACTTCGCAGATGACTTGGCTCTTCTATCGCACACGCAACGACAAATGCAAGATAAGACGACCAGTGTAGCAGCAGCAGTAGGTCTGAACATACATAAAGGAAAAAGCAAAATTCTCCGATGCAACACAACATGCACCAACCAAATCACTCTTGATGGAGATGCCTTGGATGACATTAACACCTTTACATATCTGGGCAGCATAATCGACAACCAAGGTGGATCCGATGCAGATGTGAGGGCGCGGATTGGCAAAGCAAGGACTGCATTTCTACAATTGAAAAATATCTGGAACTCCAAACAACTTTTAAACCAAACCAAAATCAGGATTTTCAATACAAATGTGAAGACAGTTCTACTGTATGCAGCGGAAACATGGAGAACTACCAAAACCATCATCCAGAAGATACAAGTGTTTATTAACAGTTGTCTACACAAAATACTTCGTATTCGTTGACCAGACACGATCAGCAACAACGTACTGTGGGAGATAACAAACCAGATTCCAGTGGAGGAGGAGGAAATCAGGAAGAAGCGGTGGAAGTGGATAGGATACACATTGCGGAAAGCACCTAACTGCGTCACGAAACAAGCCGTCACATGGAATCCTCAATGCAGAAGGAAAAGAGGAAGGCCAAAGAATACATTACGTCGAGAAATAGAGAAAGATATGAGAGTAACGAACAAACATTGGACAGAAGTGGAGAGGGAAGCCTAGGACAGAGTTGGTTGGAGAAAACTGATGAGCGGCCTATGCTCCATTGTGGGTAACAGACGTAAGCAAGTAAAGTAAGCTCATTGGTGACTAGCTTCGTGAGGAAATTCTCTGTGTTCTAGTAAGAAGGCGTGATCATTGGAGTCCAACCCTGTCTAGTGTGTAAACAGTTACCTACCGAAGACAAATGGATGGATGAGGTTGATCAGAGTTATATATATTAACACCGTTGGATGCCGACCCCAGTGGTCGTGAAGTTACGTGTTCTTGGCAAAACTGAAGGTCCTGGGTTCGAATCCTTCGAGTAGCAGGAGTCGTGGATGCACATTGCTGATGAATCCCATAATGGGATAAAACGGCCGTCCAGTCTTTCCAAGTTTCTAATGTTGGTCTTACAATGGTTGATTCATGGTTTCTGTGTGTAAATCATAATAACTAACTACTTTGTTGGTATTTTAGAACGACCTTAAAGTTTAAAAAAGTAATGTGTTCATAAATAGCAAGCCAGAAATATGTTTAATCCAAAGAGGATTTGTTTGTATTTGTGTCTGTGTGTGTTGAGGGAGATTGAGATAATTTACCGATACTTAATCGATTAGACAACATGATAAACGTGTAGAGTAATTGTTCATTATGGATCATGAAAAAGTCAGCTAATATATCACACGGAACTTGTATTTTTACAATAAACAATAGTAGAATATTCTTTATCGAATGATTAACTTTTAGTTCAAATTATGTTCACTGGTTTGTATAATTTGATTGTGAAATTGTGCTGGATATGTGTGTGCTCACCAAGTTTTCTGTGGTGGTCAGTATTCGAAATAAGTATAATTCCGAAACTTTGTATACTGTTCGTCTTGATAATAACCGTTAATTAGATAACGTCCAACAGAGGAATACGAAGCGACTGTTGCGTTTATTTGCGCACGAAACCATAAGTATCAGAAGCACAAGTGAAATGACATATGAGTGCCGAAGCGTATGCGAACGAGCAAGCGACTAAGTTAATAAAACAGGATTAAAATGCACATAGATATCATACCTAGGGAAATGAATAAGTCATTGGATCACACTAAAGCGAGTAGAATGAATATATGTTTAAGAAGGATTTGATTTTGACCAATTTAATTTCTCGTGTGCTGTTACGGGTATGAGGGTGGTTGTCGATTCTCGGTTGCCCACACCGTGGAAGGTTGGTTCTTGAGGAACCGGAAAAGGAAGATAGATTAGGGTTGGTCTAAGAGACCTGGGTGCGTGACCGCAGTGTCCAGGGGACAACTGCTTGAGGCCGGTCACGCACGGCCTTTTTATTAAAGGTTTTTTGAGTATTAGCTCCGCTCTTAAAGGCTCTTAGTGGGCACCCTTACCAACGGAGACGGAAATCCGTGAGGTAAGGTGAGGTGTGACAATTTTAGGGTCGACATTTTCTAACCCTTCCTTTCATTGTGAGAAGGCAGCATCGGTGCAGATGCTGGTTGTCTGAGGGAAACACCTTACTGCTGTCACACCTCTCTGCAGTCAGCAGTACGACTTCGCCCTCAGACGTTGAGTAGCTACTTTTAGTCTCGTCGTCCTCCAATCGATCTGCCTAGCATGGTAGAACCTTCAAGAACATATGTTCCAGCCAGTATATTTCGGTTGGGTCAAGACGATAGGCAAGCCCGACCACCACGTCAAGGTAACAGCTACGGTCGGGAGTCCCTTTATAGGACAAAATGGACGGTCATCTAGTGCTTTCAGATTTTCAATGTTGATCTAACAATGATCAATTCATGATTTAAATGAAATGAGAAGTTTCAAACTAAGAAACAAGCATCTTATTATCCATTGTGTAAATAAATCTATCACAATTATTCAATAGTCATAGTTACATAAAATAAAATAACTCCATTTATCAACTATCCTTTGCTAATTTAGGTTTATGGTTCAGGTGAACAAACTAGATCATTTCAATATATTAGTGATCTTGTCAATGGTCTTATTGCTTTAATGGCATCGAATTATACAATGCCTGTTAATTTAGGCAATCCTAGTGAATTTACTGTGAATGAATTAGCAATGATGGTGAAAAATTTTACAGGTAACTACTTTTTTTTACATTGAAATATTCATTCTTTATTGATTTATGTATATATCTGTCAAAAACTATTTTTCTTTTAGTACTGAACTCCTCTTGGAGCTCTTCTCTAGAGTTACTGCCGGTCCCTCATGCACGGATAAAGGAGAGGAGGGTTGGGCATATAGAGTAGGCTAAGCGATCTTATCCCGTAGAAATCCAACTCGCTAAATAGAAAACTCTAACCAGAAGAAATAATTCACTGGTCGGTGAGCTTTGCTCTATTAGGGGTAACAGGCGTAAAAAAGTAGATTTTCTACAAGATGGCAGTATTGAGTGTGGTAGGTCTTTTTCATACACTTATGTATGCAGACTGACATTAAGATAAGAAGCAAAGTAAAGAATAGAAGGTGAGTGGGCTAACTTCATTTGATAAGGTTTGAGAAATGATTTATAGTCAGACAAAGATAAGTTTAAGATGTGATGCCTAGCGTAAGGGTCCTCACACACACACATGCTGAAATGGAGCGAATAGTTGACAAGGTCAAAGTATATGCAAATAATATCTAGAGAAGAATGGACTTATTGGTTTTTTTCGAAAAACCTTGAGTAAGCCATGCAGACTTGACATAATGGTAGCGAACACTACGAGTCACACAATCAAGCAAGACTTGACTCGACTTTATAAGAAATAAAGCTCTTGATATCCTAGGGATATATATATATATATATATGATATGCGCATACACACCTACTTCTCTATTCTATTTAAGTCAATACATGTCATTTAAATAACTGGTTTTGAGCACTCATATAAGAGTCAGTCAGTTAGTTACAACGTAGAACTTTGTACATGAGTACATAAGTTCAGGTTGCCATACCCCATCATCACAGAGATGCAACTGTCAGTTCAAATCCCATAGTGGTAGCGATAGTAGAAGTATTAGCAGTAATGTAGAATATTAGGGAGCAAAGATATGATTCGAGAAGTGTGATTCAGTGACATAACTTTAGGAAGAGGAAAACAGAGATGATGAGTAATTCAGAAGAATGGATGCACCTGCGCCATTGCAAACGATTTTGAGCCATGTCATTCAAGGTCTCTAACCGTTGGTAACTTGTCCCGCGGACGCCATCCTGGTAGCCTACATCTACCAATATGACTGAGTCCACTTGTCAGTGACTTTATGAATTTGTGCCATGTTTTGGCTTTAACACCCCTAGTTTTCTTCCAACCTACTCCTCCTACACCACAAAACATAGCTCGTCGAGGCAGTCAGTGGTTAGGCATACGTAACACATGTCCCAACCACCTCAACTGATGGATTTTCACAACTTCATCAATTAATCTGCTATCTCTACCTAGTACTCCATTCCTAACGACAACATTGCTTACTCGGTTGTCCCAGGATATACGAGCAATGCTTCAAACACATCTATAATCGAATATTAATAACCTGCGAATATATTCTACTCTTAACGGCCATGTTTCCTAACCATAATGTAGGGCGGGTCAGTAGACTCTTCCATTAGCCAGCAAACGGATATCTCACCTACTTCATAAGTGACATAGGTTGGCAAACCTCAGTCGAGCCTTCTGTATCCACGCCTATCGCCGCAGCCTTTTCCATCGCTTTCGCTACGCACCATTATTCGCGATCCTTATGTAGGCTTTTTTCAGCCTGCTCTTGAGTTGACTTTGCTCTTCGTCATGTTTAGAGCCAGGTGGAATGAGTTTACGAGCATCTATCATTTCGGTAGATGCTACTGAAATCCTTGGCTTCTTCCTAGATTATGGTTTACCTTACCAGCAGATGTCACTGTTGTTTCCATAGCCTTCCTCATATCATTCTGAGTTACCTCTGGATGGGGATCACTTACATGGTCGCCTAACTGTTTTTCTAGTTGTTCCCGAAATATATTCAAAGCTCTGTTATCATTAGGTAGAACCCTATGAGGCCTTCTTACTCTGTCTTTCCTACGCCCAGCAAGCCTCAAACAAATACGCACTCGCACTAGGGCATGATCTGAATCTAGACATGTGCCCTAGAACCAGCGACAGTCCTCTATTGAACTCCTTCATGGATGGCTGATGGCGATATGATCTAGTTGGGTCCAGCGTTTAGACGAGGTCAACAGATGTTTTTCTTTATGCCTAAAGTTAGTGTTTGTTAGAAATAGGCAGTTATCTAAGCATAGTTGCAACAGACTATCGCCATTATCAGTTCCATGGGCCACGACACTCGTATAGGAAGCAGCCCGTTTATTAGTCACGAAATTGGTTACTGCATAAAATAACAATTTGTTTATTTTTTTATTTTATTCTTCTTTCTAACTAACACAGACAGTAAAAGTGAAATCATTTATCAACCTTCACCAATTGATGATCCTCAACGACGACAACCTGATATTAGTGTAGCTATAAAACAATTGAATTGGAAACCAATAATCACTTTACAAGAAGGATTAAATAAAACTTTAACTTATTTTAAAGATATTTTAAAGCCATCATCTGAATGTACTGTGAATTTTACTTAATTCTTCAATGGTCAAGATTTATTTTCTACTACTTATTCATGATGTCTTTATAGGATTAGGAATGTTGATTTCTGATTTTTTTTTCATATTCATTGAATTAGTGAAATGAAAGTTTAGTTTGTTTGATAATCTTACTGTAAAGTGTCTAAATTTTTCTTTCCCTTTTACTTGTAGATTATTAATAAATAAAATAAAAAATATTCTGAATTTATATACAATTTGTTACATACATACATTCGTATACTTTTCATACATACACTATGTAAAAGTTTAATAAAGATGATATTCTGCTTGATATTATACAGAATTAAATTTTTCTCAAGTCTGTTAGTTTATTCGATAAAGGTTTTCAGATTAAAAATGAATCTAATCTATCAGGTATAATGTTATGCTCAGAATAGCCTATCGTGTCACTGTATCATTTATCTCCCTTCTGTTTAGTGAGTAAGGTGAACTCGTATTAGTTTTAGGCATATCAATTGACGAGCATGTCAGGATCTCAGATTATTGCCAATCGTCTCTGGACAACGGACTTGACTAGTCCTGAATATACAGTCATTTATAAGTAACAGTATTTTTCTGATAATAGTTGTGATAGTTTTCCACGTTCTAGCTTATTATTTTAGCAGTTTAGTTTAACTTTGAGTGGAGTGCGATTGTGGGAATTGGAACATGTTCTATAAGTTCATGCTTTCACATTGGGATCAGGTATGCCCTGCTTTCATCTCTGATAATGGTTCAGTCTGAAGAGAAGCCGGTGCTACACCGACAGGTTTATTCGACATCATCCACTACATATAGATTAGTAGGGATGTGTGATCTTCACAGTTTGAACTGTCTGTGTTCAATATGTCCACTCTATTCTATTCCTCTTCTGAGATGCACTGTCTTCAAAATGGGATGGAACAGAGAAGAAGCGGAAAATATGACTACAAACATACTTTCATAACACAGTGCATAGCTTAGGAGTTTAGTCCATCGTAGTAGTTCTTTGTGATAGAGACTATCATCGTAGCGACTCTATATGTTCAAAGGAAATTCCATCAAGTGCAGTTCGCAGTAATATATCAAGCCTGCGTGGCTTCCCCTAGCCCCTGATAAAATCAATCAATCAATTCTCGAGTCATTATTCACAACTCCTTCAAAATTATTAATTTTCCACTTGTAACATCGGCTATTTTCACTTCATTCTGTATGTGCATTTCTTAATTCGCTTACCGCATAAATAACTTACTTTTTACTGACTATGAATAGTTAGCGCAGCCGTACAAAGTTGGAGTGGTTCCATTCACCTTCGATTCACATCACCTCTGTTTTATGCTTCTCAGTTTTATGTCTGTAGATAAGCAACGTAGGAGGTCCCTGTGGGAGGTTGTGAGCCAACTGAAGTTTGATAGGAATAGTGCGGCCTCCTAGCGCACGTCGAAGTCATGCCTTGTGGTTTAAGCTGAACCTGGATTATACCACTGTGATAAACAGGTGACTTGCTAGAATAAACACTCCTATTTGGTAGCTTTGTAGTGGTACACTTTTACGAAGATGACACAACTGCTGAAATATGAACATTTATCATTATGCTTAATTCTGTCAATAATTGTTATACTGTACTGAAGTGCATCTCTCCCGCGTTAAGAGTTTAATGCCCTCTTTCACTCCTCTCGTCACTTGTTGTTAACCGCTTCTGTACCCAGGTCTCGATATTATTTCGATATCACGAGGGTAGTGATAACATACTTCTTCATCCAGAATAGTCTTTTCTTTGAATTCTGGATTATCCGGATTTACAGTAGTAATCCTGCGAAGAAATATATTTACTTTAACTCCCTACAGCTTCATTCATCAGTATCAGCAGCTAACTTAAGTCCATGGCATGCCATCTGCTGCTGGGCGTTGGTTTACTTTTCCAAGGTTCGGTTGACTGCTCGACATTCACTGATTAACTTGTTGGATGATATGGCTAGGACCAGGTTTCAGTTTACTGGTCCTACATGTCTGTTTGCAAGCGAGAGCGTCTGCAATAAGCTCGTCCACATAAAACCGTATTGGTCTCCTCAATACCGAAGTCACACAAGCGGGGTTCGTCTTAAAGTAATTTACGGAAATTAAGCGGAAGATTTATTTCATTGACAAAAATAATCGTCCATCCGAAAAGGATTCAGATTTCAAAGCACAAGAACATTCATCCGATTCATGATGTCCAATGATTTCGCATAATCAAGGAGGTTGATGGGCAGCTATGAATCCCATTCGATTAATTGCTGATTAATGATTCACAACAAACAGTAGCACATATCAAGCATTGGTGATCTTAGCAACTTTATCACTTTAGTAAGCCATACAGACAACATCAAATAGTTTAGTAACAGTCAACATCATATGAACAACTTTGGTCGATAAGCCACTGAACTGTTGTGTATCATATGTGGTTGAGTATATTCATACCACGAAATTCTTATTCAGGAATAGATTATAAAAAACCACTGTTTTCGGGAAGTGTCATCCGAAGTCCTTCTTCTCTTAAATCGTTCAACATATTACAAAAGACCCACATTTCACAGACACCGCTTATTGTTAGTGAAAATCTAAAAGACGTATTGTTAAACCATGTCGACAACCGGGGAATGAGAACAATATATTTGAAGATGAATGATCGATTTTCAGGACAAGGCACTGGGCACTATTAGGTTACTTTTTGTTGCAGTTTGTATAGCCAAAAAAGGAGCGATTGACTTTGAAACAATGACTAGAGATGGTATTCAACGTGCGTTTAACTTCTTAAGTTTGTTTATAAATACATACGTAACGAGAACTGCAAATAAAAACTTGCCTAGTCACGGTGCGGTTACCTCACGGTGCTAACTCCTAACCATTGTGTTCCACGGGTTGACTTAAGATCTAACTGGAATATCAAATTGGGATATATTTTGTTGTCAAATTCAAAGGCAAACGTTTTGTAAGAAGATAAGGGTAAAGAAAATTGGCTTTTGGAGCTATTGGAGGAACGAAACTCTGATCATTTTTAATAATTTAGACAACTCTTACGACAGACGGAAATTTTATTACGAAAATAAAGACAGGAAACTCTTTCGAAAAACATGACTGAACTTCAATATCCGTTTGTTTGTTTTACTGGTTCAAGTTACTTGTACTCTAACATTCAGCCGCCAATAACTTTTCCTATTTTGCGTGGTTTATGGCTATCACTCGGATAGCAGTTATTCTTGGGGAAGTATTAGATGAAGAGCAAAGATCGTTATTAATAAAGGATGTGAATCAAGGTACTTATGGTTTAAGCGTGTTTAGATGTGTTAGCTTATTGGTTAATTTGGTGAACGCACTAAAGTTTATAACTGCCATTGCATAGTAATGTTTTCATATTATTGATACACCTATATAAGAGTTGTTGAATAGTGTGAATTTTCGGCACTGAATTATTTCAATGAGGGCTCAGGATTCTATTTATAGTAATATATTCCCAAGACATTCTTCCTGATTGCTGATCTACTCCTACGCAACTTTTCTGTATTAAGTATGTGGAAACTGATTGTTACATTATCGTAGTTTGGAGTGCCATTTTGTTCAAAAGTTTATTCAGAGTGTGGTGATTCCACGCGCTTTCTGCAGTCTTTATATGGATAGTAGTTCGGTTGTCCATTGTTGACCGTTTTAGTGAATGAAGTGATTCACAGTTTGATAGATGAGACAAACTGCTAAGTACAGACAGCAATATTTTCAAACATCGGGCGATCTCTTTTTATAGACCTTGCATTCGAAGATCAAGCTTTCCAATCTAGTAACCTTAAAATCCCGCAAACTTCATTTTTGAAACGTGAGGTTGTTGCTTAATTTTTGTATTTCAAGTGTAGCTTGATAAACTTGGCATGAAAATTAAAATGGTTAAGTTCACTACTTTTGTGACTGTCATTTAGTTTCAAGATAGATTTTTCATGTTTAGCGATGTATCTAATAACACAGGATAACATCTGAAAGTCATATTTCGGTTTTTATAGCGTTCCCAATTATCAACCTTCATGTTCTCGGACAATGAGGTAGAATGATTACTTCTTTAATATTCTTGTTCAATATGGTTAGTGTAAGTAGTGTAAGTAGTTTGTAAATAAATGGTATTTAAGGTGGGAATCTAAAAGAATCGTTCAACTTTCTAGTATACCTGTTTTTGTATTCCGTATTTTCGCCAGTTCATATATTTCTACCAAACATACTTGTGGACTAGCCTAAATCAAAATCAAGATGATGGTTACATTTAATTCAGTCGACTGATAAGCACTAGTGATAATATCTTAACGAATTCATCGTATCCATAATGTTTCAATTAATAATTCTTCATCTGACAATATTCATCAAAAAGTTCTATTTTTGAAGTTTTAATTTAACTGGTTTTATTGAGATTTTAAATAAGATAACACCAGTATTTCAACGTTTGTCTGACACTTCGGAGTTATTACTATCACTACCTAAATAACCACATCCATAATGGTTAACAGCTTGTGAAGACTTATATCAGATACATCAAGTTCGTGTTATTTGCCAACACATGCAAGCATATACACAATTCCAATATTCTGGTTGAATACGAGTACTTTTTGTTTTTATTTCGTTACTGTTCTGGCACGTTCTAGTCGATTTCGAGATATTTCTAAATTTCTTTGTGCTTCAAGTTGGTATAGTCCATTAATATAATAGTCTGCTCGTTTGCCTACTTATTAGTGATTTCTTTAATGACAGTTAGAACTGGTATTTGAAATAGTTTATACCACATGGTTTGTAGCAGGACAAATATTTCATTTGCATAATGCGATATTCTTTAGTAGACTTCTGTGATTGATTACTCCAGTGTTTCTCAAAGTCTTAATTTAATTCCGAAAAATTTCTTTTCAGGCTTGATTACATGTCCACCAGATTTTCTATTAAAAATCCAATCTCATCTGGAAAAATTGACAAGCAGTCAACAGTGTTCACCTGAGTGTAAGTTAACCTTCTTTTATGTTTCTAAATTATTTGTATTTCAATCTTTAAGTCAGTTAGTCAGTTACAACGTAGAAATTTGTATTTATGTACATAAGTTCAGGTTGCTATTAAAAGCATTAAATGACAGAACATGACCAGAACTGTTTGTGGACGTTCTATCTTCTAATTTCATAGACATGCTTCTAGATATAACCTAATCCTCGTCTGAATTTTCAGGAACAGACCTTTTACCTGCTGACTCGCTTATCAACTTAGAATAAGACATAGTCCTACTTGGTGAAGACGCTGACGAAATGCAGTCTTCTGACCACCCTAAGCAACAATGCAAGCATGTTCGGGATGCGGTTTTCCCCCTCGAAATGCAAAATGTTGCTTCAAGATTGGGTTGCATCGGCACCTGAACTAGTGATAGGGAGTGAAGTAATCGAGCGTGTAGACCGCTTCACTTATCTTGGGAGTCTCATCAGTGCCGATGGCCTGGTGACTGACGAAATCTCAGCTCGGATACAGAAGGCTCGATTGGCTTTTGCCAACCTTCATCACTTATGGCGCAGGCGAGATATCCGTTTGCTGACTAAAGGACGAGTGTACTGTGCAGTAGTTCGCTCCGTCTTTCTTTATGGGTGTGAGAAATGCCCAGTGAGAGTAGAAGATATTCGTAGGTTACTGGTTTTCGATCATAGGTGTCTTCGAAGCATTGCTTGTATATCGTGGGACACCCGAGTGAGCAACGCTGTTATTAGGAGTCGGGTGTTAGGTTAGAATGGCACGTCAATAGACGCAGTAGTGACACTTCATCAGTTGAGGTGGTTGGGACATGTGGCAGTTAGACTGGGTCACTCAGTCAGACATAACGTAGAACTTCGTACGTACGTATATCAGTTCAGGTTTTCATACTACATTAGCACAGAGATCGGAATGTCAATTCAAATCCCATAGTAGGTTAGTGTCAAAGGTGTGGACTACCAGGTTGGGGTCCCCGAGACAAAAGCTAATGATGGTTAGAGAGTTTTGAATGGCATGGCTCAAAATTGTTGCAGTGGTGCAGACGCATCCATTCTCTGTCTCCTCTCCAGTTTCAACTGGGATTCTCACTACTTTTTTGCTCTTCTTTTCCGTTTAGTTTAGTTTACTGGTTTATATTTGTTGAATCATATTTTCGAACCCTAATCTTTTCGATTACCACTAATACTGCTACAACCTCTACTACCATGGGATTTCAACTGACAATTCCACCTTTGTGTGGAATCCTACTACATTTGCCACTGTGGGACTTCAATTGACAGTTGTATCACTGTGCTCCTAATCTGTGTATGTACAAAGTTCTGCTTTGTAGCTAACTGACTGCTAATTAATATATTTATAGTTAGTTCTGCAGCTTCACAAAGGTAGAATCCATTGTCATTCCTAGTAGTCATTTCACTATTCTCAGTTTAAAATTAGTTCACCTAAATTGTATTTTATCTGTTCATCATCAGGTATTTTCTCTTATCAAGAAGAAGATTTTGAATTTCTAACCTTATGTCGTCCATCTACATCTGGAATTACATCGTTATTGACAAATTTTCTTCAGCCACCGAAAAATCCCAATGTCCCTTTGAATATTATCCTTGTATATGCTGGTTTACTATCGGATGGATCAGCTCATTGGTTGTTACCGAACTTTGTGTTTACACCTACATTCTTAACAGATTTTATTCAACATTTGTCTACTCTTCGTCCTAAACCAGTAAGTAATTATTGTCTGTTCATTCGCCTATCATATATATTACACTAAAAATAATTACTTTTCTCTCGAATTTAGCTATGGTCATTCTTTCTTTTTATATTCAGATATTGTTATATAATTTAGTGTAAATATGTGTGTGTAATCTCTTCGATTTTGTGTAATAAGAAGATGATAAGGGGTTATGTAGTGAAATCTTGCAGGCTAGTTAAACAAAAGAATAATTAGAAAGTGATTCTCTTAATTGATAACAAGTTATATGCCAATGATGTAAACCTTTAATGGCCAAGTTGGTATGATCTTACACTATACTTCATGTATAATCTATCTCAACATTCAGTCTTAATGAACATAGGATTAAATCAAGAAACAATTACAAGTGTCCAGATCAAAACGTATTATAAATTTATAAGCTCATTAACTTAACGGCTTTTTGTCGTGCAGGGAGAGAGATTTCTTTCTCAGGTGGATGATTGTGGTGAAGCTTCGTTCTCTGAGCTTGATGTTTTGGTTGTGAAGCTTTGATTGTTCTTCTGAACATCATCAACGCAATCAAAATCAGTACAAACAAAATAACGGTGCAAACAACGACAGGTTTAAGGTCAACAGCAACCAATCAAGATCGAGGTTAGCATTACAAGCTACAGGTCAAACGTGGGGAAATTCGAATGCTTTACTTCTTCTATCTAAAGTTTGTGTTGATAATGATGTTGTTCAAGAGAACAATGAAAACTCCACAACCAAAACACCCAGCTCAGGGGGCTAAACTTTCTACCTGAAGCCTCTAAATACAAACCATTGATTTAAGAGCCATCAGTAGTAAGGTTCAGAAGAATTCAGAATGATTTGGATTCACTAATTGCTTATTATCGTCTGAATGAATCTTCAACGTTTTTTATTATTGATGTCCCTAAGCTCGCCTATGAAGCGTTCATGAGTAACTAGTAAGGTTGTAGGCTTTTATGTTACTGCTTCAAGATATAAGCACAATCTCCTTTAAATACATGTTTCCTTCAGTCTTTCAATCAACACCACCTTAAGATACAATTTTCAAATTATTCGATTCTTCAAAATTACCATTTAACAAGTCTTATTTATTTAATTCAACACATTTAACGTACATTATGTATGAAGTAATGAGGAATGAATATTAGTTTATCTAAGACACTGTGTCAGTTCTCTCATATTTCAATTCTTTATGTTTCAGGATGATGTTGAAAACCATCCATCTTACAAACCTATTCGACTTCACATTGGTATTGGGGCAGTCTCATCAGGTGGAGACTGGCGTCATCTTGTTAACAACCCACCACAACCTATCGGAGGGCATATATTCCAAGTTACAGTTAATCGTTGTCGTACGGCGGCAAAACCAAAGAGTAACAAACCTACAGATACTCCTTCACCACCTCCTAACTCATTTGGTAAGTGTTTATTTCTTTTTTTTTGTTCTGTTAAATTGATTTTATGGTAATCATTTTTTTTAAATTCATTATTTCTGATAATTTTATCCCAACTTTTTTAAAATTTTATAACTCTATAATAAGTAATCATAATTACTTCAACCTCTAACTATTATCGTCAATTATCCCAGAATTCATTTTATCACTTACATACAATTTTACATCTGTTTTGACTCTGTTTTTGACTAAATCCATAAAATTGTATATCACATGTTTGGTGGGTAGTCCGATTCTTACGGTTATTCATGCTTCCTATATATGAACCCAACTTTTTGGGGAGTCTCATCAGTGCCGATGGACTGGTGACTGACGAAATCTCAGCACGGATACAGAAGGCTCGATTGGCTTTCGCCAACCTGCGTCACTTATGGCGTAGGCGAGATATCCGTTTGCTGACTAAAGGACGAGTGTACTGTGCAGTGGTTCGCTCCGTTTTAATTTATGGCTGTGAAACATGGCCAATGAGAGTAGAAGATATTCGTAGGTTACTGGTTTTCGATCATGGGTGTCTTCGAAGTATTGCTCGTATATCGTGGGACACCCGAGTGAGCAATGCTTTTATTAGGAATCGGGTGCCAGGTGAGAATGGCAGATCAATAGATGAAGTGGTGACACTTCATCAGTTGAGGTGGTTGGGACATGTGTTGCGTATGCCTAACCACCGACTGCCTCGACGAGCTATGTTTTGTGGTGTAGGAGTAGGTTGGAAGAAAGTTAGTGGCGGCCAAACCAAAACATGTCAGAAATCCATGAAGTCATTGACGAGTGGACTTAGCCATGTCGGTAATTGTCGACTACCTGGTTGTGGTCCGCGAGATGATAATAATCGATGGTTAGAGACCTTGAACGATATGGCTCAAAATCGTTCTCAATGGCGCCGGTGCATTTATTCTTTGTGTTCTCTCAAATCCTAATCTACTGGATTCTTCAACACCTCTGGTTTTGATTTCCTAAACTCTTCTCATTAAATCATACTTCTTGAATAATATCTTCTAATCCTAACCTCTCCGATTACTTGTAATACCTTCACTACCTCTTCTACTATTGGATTTGAATTGACAATTACATCTCTATGTGCTGATGTGGTATGGCGACATGAACTGATGTACTTACGTACGAAGTTCTACGTTGCATCTGACTGATTGACTTCTGTTTAATCAAAAAGATAAAGAATGAACAAAAAATATACACAACTTACGTCTGTTATCCCTAATGTGAGCATAGACCACCAACCTACTCTGTCCTGGACATTTCTTACCAGTTCTATACATTTGCTGTTCATTTTCAGGTTTGTTTCCAAATCTCAGCGTAATGCGTTCTTTAGTCTTTCTCTTTTCGTTTTGGCCTTGAGCAGTCCACGTGAGAGCAGTTGAGTGCTTTCCTCAATGTGTCCTATCCACCTCCAGCGCTTTTCCTTAATTTCTTCCTCAGCTACAATCTGGTTTGTTCTCTCACGCAGTAGGTTGTTACTGATGGTGTTTAATCAACGGTTCTTCAGTAAATTGCGTAAACAACTGTTAACAAATACCTGTATCTTTTGGATGATGGCTTTCGTGGTTCTTCAAGTTTTTCTCCACATACAGTAGAACTGTTTTGATATTTTTATTGACAATTCTGACTGGTGTTTTTCGATGGATGTTTTGTGTTGCAGATGTTCTTCAACTATAGAAATGTTGCCCTTGCTTCACTTACTTATCCGTGTCTTTACATATACATCAGATCCACTTTGTTTATCAATGATGCTATCCATGGTTATAAAGGTTTCTACATTTTCCGAAGTTTCTCCATCAAGTGTGGTTCAGTTGGTGCACACAAGCCTATCCACCTATATGTATATATCCCTCAGGTAGCTGAGCCAAACCTTGATCATTTAAGTTTACTCGTGGATAACGTTCACCTAACTGTATTGTTCTAACCTATCACCTCGTCCTCCTCAAGCAAAGATCTGTTTCCTCTGATTTAGCTGTAAGAGTTAAGATGAGGGCTATTTATTGCCTCTGTTTAACAATATTTTGTCCGCAAAGGGTTTATTAGTTCAGGTTGGAAACTCCTTTCTCTAGCCTATCTAACCTTTTGATTGTCATATCTGAACAATGAAAGTGCTTAATAAATTTTGAACAGGTTCTGTACTGCTGATAATTTATCCCAATGCCTGCTCTGTACATCTGGACTAAAAATGAAGAACCTTGATTAAAATTTAAGGATATGGTGTGTAATGAAGATGATGACCCGATGTTAATCCTGTATAACAATGATCCCACAACATTATATGGGGAATATGATCTTGTAAGCAAAGATTTGATTGACTAGTAGCTTACAAAATCGATTTGCTTTCAATTGTCCATGACATGTCATTGAACTTAACAAGGAGTCATCATATTAGTTAAATCTATTGTTTATAAATGTTTTACTTTATGATACTGTTTGTATTCATCTAGTTAAATTATTGATCAATTGATGTCAAGTAGTACTCAGTTAATTTCATGCAAATATGACTGACTATTCGTCAGTGTAAAGAAAAGAAAAAATTAATATCGATTTGTATTACGTATAGTTTTAATTTTATTTTGCGTATCATATAAAACTTCATTTATCTCCTTTGCGTGTTTACTTGGGTTGTGCGATTCACAGGTTCAAGTAGTCCATACAAGTTATTAGCCATTACATCAACAACAACAACAACTGTCGATGTGTTTTTGAAAGGCCAATAAAAAATCTTAATCAACACTAGTTTTGTCTTTGTATTTGCGTAGGGGAAATCACAATGATCAGTAGTCAATAGAGAGTAATAAGTTGTTTGAAATTTCGGTGATTTCCCAGTTCTATTGGTTCCGACATATGCTACTACCATATGTCACCCTCTAAATAATATTAGATATAAACTAACTTGAATAATAATTGTCAGTTATTCAATTTGTTTGTGGAGTATTACACATTTACTCACAATGTTAATGTTTCATTACTCGTAACGTCGTAGGAGTTGAATAAGTTGGAAGAGAGCTAGGGGTGGCCAAACCAAAACATGACGCAAATCCATGGAATGACTGACAAGTGGACTGAGTCATATTGGTAGGTGAAGACTACCTGATTGTTGTCGGCGAGATGATAGTAATCGATGGTTAGAGACCTTGAAGGATATGGCTCAAAACCGTTTGCAATGGCGCAAGTGTATCCACTCTTTGTGTTCTCTCAAATCCTAACCTTCGGAATTCCTCATCACCTTTATGAATAATATCGTTGAACCCTAATCTCTCCAATTACTGCTAATACTTGAAGTGAGAATTGCATCGCTATGCTAATGTAGTATGACAACTTGAATTGATGTACGTGCGTACGAAATTCTATGTTGTTGTTGTTGTTGACTGACTAACTGACAAGTTGAAATCATGCTTCAATACAAACAAACAACCCCCTGTTATTTATGAACCTCTAATAATCGATATCCTATCTCGTAAACTTAAAGTTTGTCGTCATTCTAACTTTGAATATTATTTCTCACTCACTCACTCACTAATTGATAACATTTTGTATTTCTTTCTTGTTTTCTTGTTAGATTTTGAAAGTTTTCTACATGATATACTGATGACTAAATTACCTGATCCATATTGTCTACCTCTTAGTCAACCATTGATTATGCGTTCACCAACAGATCCAACATTGAAAATTTCCAAACCATGCATTTATTTATTCCCTGAAGGTTCTGGTCAAGCATCAATTTTAGCTTTGCCCGGTTATAATATGTTAATTGATGGAGGATGTAGTTATAAGCCTTGTTTTTGGTCTGTTGCTAATTATTTAGATCGGTAAGATTTTGTTTGTTCTTGTTGTTGGTGTTGGGAAGTAAATTACCTCAATTTATCATCATTGTTATTCATTAATTAATCTATACTGAATCCCTTTTTTTTCTCATGGCTGTTGTTGTTAATTGGAAATTGGGTGTGACTTTGGATTTCAATAATTAGTGTACTACATATATGGGTGAAGATAAATCATTATTGTATCAAAACTACAGTTATGAATTACGCTTAGAACTTTTAACCACACCTGGTTTTGTTAATAAAAAGTCAGTCAGTCAGTCATTCGGAGTTATTTTTGATGCACATTGTTTTTCATTGTGCTTTGATTTTTTTTTATAGCTTCTCGTTTATTCTTTTGTCTTTTTAAATGTACTCTGTTGTCCAGTGAATAGTTTGCTGTGTTTGAATTAAAAAGTCAGCTTAATCTTAATTGACCATATTTCCTTCAGTGGCGTGAGGTGATAAACGATCGAAAGATGGGTTGGTCGAGGAGATAACAGGGTTATTAAGACGTGTAGAAAGGATTGTGACCAATTTAATCTCGTGTGCTTCTATATGGATATGAAGGCGGATGTTACTTCCCGGCTGCCCACACCCTGGAAGAGTGTTTCTTGAGGAACGTGAAAAAGAAGATAGATTAGTGTTGGTCTTAGAGATCTGGGTGCGTGACCGCAGAGTCCAAGGGATAACTGCTTGAGGCTGGTCAGGCACGGCCTTTTGATGGAACGTTTTTTGAGTATTAGCTCCTCTCTTAAAGGTCCTTAGTGGGCACCCTTACCGCCGGAGACGGAAATCCATGAGGTAGGGTGAGGTGTGACATTTTTAGGGTCGACCTTTTCTAACCCCTTCCTTCCTTGTGAGAAGGCGTCATCGCTGCAGATGCTGGTCGTCTGAGGGAAACACCTTACTGCTGTCACACCCCTCTGCAGTCAACAGTACGACTTCGCCCTCAGACCTTGGGTAGCTGCTTTTAGTCTCATCGTTCTCCAATTGACCTGCCTGGCATGGTAGAACCTTGAGGAACATATGTTCCAGCCAATATAGCTCGATTGGGTCCTCATGATAGGTAAGCCCGACCTCCACGTCAAGGTAGCAGCTTTGGTCCTAACCTTCTGAATTCCTGATCATCTCTATCTTTTTCTTTTTAAATTCACCTCACTGAATTATACTTCTTGAATAACATCCCTCCGATTACTTCTAATACTTTTACTACCTCTACTACTATGGGATTTGAATTGACAATTATATCTCTGTGCTTTTGTGATATGGCAACTTGAACTTATGTACTTACGTGCAAAGTTCTACTTTGCTGTTGATGATGATGATGATGCTTGGTTTTGTATTTATCAATGAGTTCGGTTGAAACAATAAGATATGTGTGTTGCTGCTTAACCGTATGTATACACAACGTCTTTTTGTGTGTGGAAAATAAAACCCTGAATTCGGTCGTTCCAGTTCTGCTGTTCTTTCTTAAGCTTTATTGATGTGATATTTTAAGATAGTTTTCCACTCTCTGGTAATTTTGTACTAATTCGTTAAATTATTGCAGATGACGTAGGTTCTAGTACAAGTAGACATCAATATCAGGTTGTTGAAATTCACATCAACATGTAAAGCGGAAATTATCATTGTAAAAAACCAAAAGGTTTCAAATAGTAACACAAAAATTAATGAGGAAATAAGGATAGAAAGTGTATGAGAAATGAGAAACATAGGATTATATTGATGTTAAGGCGAGAAAGATTGCGTCTTCCGATACTGTTCATGCCATGTTTTGGTTCGACCGCCCTAAGTCCAAATCAACAGTTAGCGAAGGTACACCGATACCATGGCTTAAAATAGCGGTCTTTAACTAACCTTTTGTAATTTGTATAATCCATCCTAGCTTAACATCTTAAGTTAGTCACTATCTGGGCAGGTGAAACGAATATCACACCAACCACATTGTCTCATAGTTTCAGAATCCTGATCACAACTAATCTCAACATTTCTCATTTGTGATTGCTCTTCCACTGACAGTCTCTACTTTGAAAGATTTTCCTGATTGATGCTTAAAACCTACGCATTTCTTCTAATTTCTCAAATCATGTAGGTGAATTGATATTTCGCTACAGGTGTGGTGTGTGTGTGTGTGTAACATGAATCAGTCAGTCGTAACGACCAGTGTCAATATAATCTTATCAATAACCAAGTCACTACTGCCTCAACGAGCTATGTTTTGTGGTGTAGGAGTAGGTTGGAAGAAAGCTAGGGGCGGCCAAACCAAAACATGGCAGAAATCCATGAAGTCACTGACAAGTAGACTGAGTTATGTTGGTAGATGTAGACTACCTGGTTGTGGTCTGCGAGACGAAAATCATCAATGGTTAGAGACCTTGAACGACATGGCTCAAAATCGTTTGCAATGGCGCAAGTGCATCCATTGTTTGAGCTCTCTCAAATCCTAATCTTCTGGATTCGTCAGCACCTCTACCTTTGTCTTTCTAACCTTATCTAACTGAATTATACTTCTTGAATAATATCTTCAAACCCTAGTCTTCTTCATTACCATTAATACCTCTTCTTTCTTTATCACTATGGGATTTGATTTGACATCTGCGTCTTTGTGCTAATGTGGTATGGCAACATGAACTGATGTACATACGTACGAAGTTCTACGTTGCAACTGACTGACTGATAACCAAGTCAGTCTCTTGTATGCGAAATGATGCTTCATTATTTGACCACTTATTGCTTAACCAACCTTTTTAGTTAGCATACTACTGTGAAACTAAATAAATTTCTTTGAATCATTCATTTACTGTTTGTTTGGTAATTTCTTAAGAGTACCTACTTTGTAAAGTAATTTACTTTTCTTTCTATATATGTGTGTATATTTTTTCTCCCCAAAAATTAATTACTTAATTCATTCGGTATTCTTTCGTATTTATCACTCGTACAGTTATTAATCAACGGTTAGATAAAAAAAATCTATTAACCTTCTCTTCCTGCCTTTCTTCCTCATTTTTTTCGTCAGTGAAAGAATTTATCTTATTAATGGTGTTTTATTTTGTAGCACCTTTGTTTTATTATGTTGTGTAGAGTAGTAGTACATAGTGAACAGTATTTATGTATCTGTTGTGTTTATACTCGTCGTACTCTATCGTTGAATGAATGTTTTTTTCAAAAAAAAGTGTGAGTATACTCTTTGTGGGGGATAATCATATTATTATGGAGTTAGTTGTATGTGTTTTATGCATGCATCATTGTATCATCATAGGTAATTTATCAATTTTTTAAACCTGTTAGCTGATTGAATAATCAAAAGTTTTTGAATGAAAGAAACAAGAAGCAGTTGGTGAATTATAATTTTGATGAGAGAATTAGTGTAAATTTTTTTGTTTTTGTTAAGAGTTAATAAATTGATTTTGATTCATTTTCACTTTAGTGTCTTTGAAAGCATTGCTTGTGTGCATCCTCGGTAGGGCTAGTGAGTAAGCAATGCTTGCTATTAAGGAAATGGTAAGGATGGCAAATCAATTGATGATGTGATGTAGTGAATGTTGATCGGTTGAGGCGGTTCGAACATGTGTTATGTATGTCCCAACCATTAAGGGGGTGATCAGACCAAAACATGGCGTAAATCTTTGAAGTCATTGACAAATGGACTGAGTCATGTTGGTAGATGTAGACTACCTGTTTGGGGTCCGTGAGACGATATAGTAACCGACATGGCTCAAAATTGTATGTAACGGCTTAGGTGCATCCACTCTTTGTGTTCTTTCAAACTCTAATCTGAGTTCCTTATGACCATCTTCTTCTTTTCAAGCTTATCTCATTAGATTTAACTCTTTGAATAACATCTTCGAACCTTAATGTTCCGATTACTGCTAATACTCCTACTACATTTACCAGTATGGGATTTGAATTGACAATTCGATCCCTGTGTGCTAATGTAGTATGGGAACTGGAATTGGTGTACGTAAGTACGAAGTTCTACGTTGTAACTGACTGACTGACATATTTGACTTAACATTGAAGTAGCTGTCTTTGTTCACAGTTCTGCGTGGATTAGCATTTCTTTGCCTTTGTCACCTACCAAAATAGTTACGCAGAATTGATTTTTCCGTGATAAATTTTCTCTGTATTTCAAGAAAAAAACGTTGAACAGAAACGTTGAGTTTACATCCTGTTCAACTATTTAACCACGGGTTACCGATCGTCACTCAGACTCCAACTAGATAGTCTTCTTCATCTAGTAAAACATGACTCACTCCAGTTGTTAGTGATTTCATGCATGGACTGGTACCATGTTTTCATCTGATCGCCTCTAGCTCTCTTCCAATATACTGTTACACTTGGCCAGTGAGAGTAGAAGTTATTCGTAGGTTACTGGTTTTCGATCATAGGTGTCTTCGAAGCATTGCTCGTATATCGTGGGACACCCGAGTGAGCAACGCTGTTATTAGGAAACGGGTGCTAGATAAGAATGGCAGATCAATAGATGAAGTGGTGAAACTTCATCAGTTGAGGTGGTTCGGACATGTGATGCGTATGCCCAACCATCGACTGCCTCGTCGAGCTTTGTTTTGTAGTGTAGGAGTAGGTTGGAAGAAAGTAAGGGGCGGCCAAATCAAAACATGGCAGAAATTCATGAAGTCACTGACAAGTGGACTGAGTCAAGTTGGAAGATGTAAGCTACCTGGTTGGGGTCCATGAGATGATAATAATCGATGGTTAGAGACCTTGAATGACATGGCTCAAAATCGTTTGCAGTGACGCCGGTGCATTTATTCTTTGTGTTCTCTCAAATTCTAATCTTCTGGATTCTTCAACCCCTCTAGTTTTGACTTTCTAAACTTTTCTCACTGAATCATATTTCTTGAATAATATCTTCTAATCCTAACCTCTCGGATTACTTCTAATACCCTTACTATCTATTCTACTATTGGATTTGAATTGACAATTACATCTCTGTGCTGATGTGGTATGGCGACATGAACTGATGTACTTACGTACGAAGTTCTACGTTGCAACTGACTGACTGATACTGTTAAACGAGATAACATTGCTCCTCAGGGTTGTTGCTGGTTGGGCATAGGTTACACACACATACCTCAACACATAGCCTCAACTTCTCTTTTACCTTAAATCAATTAAAATGTAGAGTGATATTTAGTTTCATAGTTATGTCAATTCAGTTTATCTATGCATTTTATTCTTTAGCCTGGATTCTGTTCTATTAACTCATTGGGGCATTGATAATTTACTGGGACTGAATACAATTCTTCCAAAAGTGTTCAAACCAAATAATAATACTACTAATAATAATCAACAATCATTACTGTGTCTGCTTACTCCTCCACCGAATATAAACAGCATGAAAATCAATACTCCCAATACCCCTCAAGATTCATTACCGTTTACACTTAATCTACCAATCTGTTTTTCTAATTTAATTGGAGAAATTAAACGTTCTGGTACTAATCTCATAGTTTATCCAATTACTCGTGGAGGAAAACAGTCGGTAGTACCGAAACCGTTACAACTTTATCAGAAAGTAAGTTATGTTATTTCTATATCAACATCATGCGGACTGTGTCACTCTAATGTTGTTTGTATAAGTAGATGACTGTCGACCTTTTAATTATTACACATTTGAAATCATCAATCAATCATTGTTAGACCACCATTAGAAGAAACCTGGAAGCACTGGACGGCCGTTTCGTCCTGGTATGGCACTCATCAGTGGCAGTGCTCATCAACGACTCCTGCTCCCCGCAGGATTCGAACCCGGGACCTTTGGCATTGTAGGCGAACGCCTTACCATCGGACCACTGGGTTGGCAGCATCCAACGGTGTTAATGTCTAAAACTCTCATTGATCTAAGGATTTTGCGCGACCTCATCCATTTGTCTTTTGTAGTAGTTACTGCCTACACCTGACAGGGTTGAACTCCATTGGTCACGTCTTCTCAACTAGAACTCCGAGAATTTCCTCACGAAGCTAGTCACTAGTTAGCACTGTTACGATATTTTGGAGCAGAGTTTTGGAGATTTGTGTTTTTTCTACACATTTGAAATCATCAATCAATCATTGTTAGACTACCATTAGAAGAAACCTGGAAGCATTGAGCGTAGGCGATCTCTGCTAGTAGTAATTTCTGATGATGATCTCTGTTTAATTGAATTGTAAAAATCAGCTAACAATAACATTTTTTTGGTTGGTGATAAATTATGAAACAATCAGTCAGTCGTAGTAGCGCCTAATTTTCTAAGAACTTTCCGAGATATCGACTAGATATGATTCTTTTCAACTAGAATTTACAATTATCAGATAATTGGGAACAACAGTTTCTGCATAAGTGAAGTATATGCTTAGTTAATAGTATTTGTATATAGATCTACTTTCCCCCTTATCTATTTCCAATATTTTTTTATTAAACAGGTAGGTCAAGGTTGTTTAGAGTTATTCCCATTAACTCCGGGCGATGATGATTCTGCTGAGTTGCGTAAATTGAATGATGATTGGTCTAAATGTTCTCCTTCGTTAATGACAACATCTGTACCGATAAGTAAAAGTTTAGTAAACAAAACTACTGTTCCACTGGTAAGTGAAATTACTTTTATCCTTTCATATATATATATATATATATACTATGAACTTTGCTCAGTCATGCTTTAACTGACTACTAGTCCAATGATTCAATTGTCGATTTAGCTATTATTTATATACTACTAATTTCATTGATCAAATTCTCGCCCAAATTAAATCACTAGTACCGACTTGTAGTTATCTTGTTTTTTACTTGAAAAACTGTTTTGTTTCTTGTATTGATGTGTATACAATAATATTTTGCCTATAGTTTTCGTTTTAAGTGAATTATCTTGTTTTGTCAACTGTTATATAACAAGCATTATACACTGAGGTGGTTAGTGGCTAGCAGTGCTGCAATCCAGAGTGCGCGTTTCAACGTATTTGGAATTCATCACTTGAATATACTTGCATCTGAGAGTTGGTACTCACTTCAAGACTGGGATCCAGTACCTTAGGCTTCAAGCACCATCATGTTATCCGCTTAGCGATTGAGTTCAGGTAGTAGTCACTTGTCTGTCCAATAGGATGAAGCTTTAATTCATTTACATATGTAGTGCGAATCTTCCCATCGATGTTTATGACTGTCATTGATTAGTCTCATTTGGCCATATATGCATCTTTTGTGTGGATAGCCTCGATATTGCCTTTAGGTTATAAACACTATTAACAGAGAGGTGGATAGTTGGTTGGTTGTGGAATCGTTCTATTTACGGCTCGTCTTTAGCTGGGTGTATCTGTATCTCACAGTTGATGTCCATTGCTGAAGGCAATATTATGACTATCCGCACAGGATACACAGATGTCAGTCAATAATGAGACTGATCGAGCGAACTGCTCAGAAGTTCTCTCCGTTCTCTTATATGGATGCGAGGCATGGCCGTTAAGAGTAGATGTTCGTAAGTTACTGGTATTCGATCAAAGATGTCTTAGAAGCATTGCTCGTATACCGCGGGACAACCGAGTAAGCAATGCTGTAGTTAGGAAACTGGTACTAGGTAAGGATGGTAGATCAATAGATGAAGTGGTGAAACTTGATTAGTGGTTTGGGACATGTGCTACGTATGGTGTAAGAGTAGGTTGGAAGAAAGCTAAGGGCGGCCAAACCAAAACATGGCAGAAATCCATGAAGTCACTGACTAGTGGACTGAGTGATGTTGGTAGTTGTAGACTACCTGGTTGGGGTCCGCGAGTCGAAAGTCACCAATCGTTAGAGACCTTGAACGACATGACTCAAAATCGTTTGCAATGGCGCAAGTGCATCCATTCTTTGAGCTCTCTCAAATCCTAATCTTCTGGAATCGTCAACACCTCTATCTTTCTCCTTCTGAATTTATCTCACTGAATTATACTTCTCGAATTATATCTTCGCTCCCTAAACTTCTCTATTACTGCTACTACTTCTACTATCGCTACCATTATGTGATTTGAACTGACAGTTGCGTCTCTGTGTGTTAGTTAATGCAATGTTATGGCAACTTGAACTGATGTACTTATGTACAAAGTTCTGTATTGTATTGTATCTGCCTGTCTGATTTTGTACTTTTGTCAGATCAATCTTTTTTTTTTCGAAAACTACAATAAAAGCAAATCTAATTTAGTTTTTTTCTTGCTGCTGAACTGATACAACGGAAATCTCTAGATTCGTTGTTAACTATTAAAAATAATAATAATAATAATAGTAATAATAATAACATTTCAGTATTGCTGATGATAATTATTTTGTAATAAAAGTACAAACTCTTTTATGTATGTCTGTGTAATATTTACTGATAATTATAATAATAATAACGTTAGAGAATTTTCACCGTAGTGTGTTGTTGTTCTTCTTCAAATAGACGACATATCATAAATTATTACTAACCTCTTCTCTTTTCATCTTTTTTCCTAAGTGCTTAAAATATTTGTAGTAACACTAAATAATAATTATGAAAGCTAATTGATTGATTGATTCATCTGTAAGTAAGTAAGTAAGTAAGCTTCCATTTAGGGTCCGCAATACGACAGTAATCGATGGTCAGAGACCCTGAACGACATGGCTCAAAATCGTTTGCAATGGCGCAGGTGCATTCATTCTTTGTGTTCTCCGAAATTTTAATCTTCTAAATTTCTCATTACTTTTCGCTTTCTAATCTTATCTCACTGAATTATACTTCTTGAATAATAACTTCGAACCCTGTCCTTCTCCATTACCACTAATACTTCTACTATCTCTACCACTATGGGATTTGAATTGACGGTTGTGTGTCTGTGTCAATGTTATTCGGCAACTTCAACTAGTATACGTACATACGAAGTTGTACGTTGTAGCTGACCGACTGACTGTCACGGCTAGGAAATATTTTCATTCAACAACTGCCATTGATATTTTTGTGAAACTAATGCTTATTTTCATTGATTCATTATTTAGTCAGTCAGTCAGTTGCAACGTATAACTCCGTACGTATGTACATAAGTTCATGTTGCCATACCACATGAGCACAGAGACGTGAATGTCAAATCAAATCCCGTTATTTATGGTAATAACGATGCTAATATCTTTGTCTAGCTGTTTTTACTTGTTATTTTTTGTGAAACTGCTTCATACACCATATTGATTAGTGTACTGCCTGTTATGGCTTAATGATTTGATCTGTTATATGTGTTTGCCTCGTCGTAAAACGTCGTATCTCCTCACATCGATCAATACGCAGACGACTTTTGAGTAATCGATACACAAGAAAAAATGAACAAACTGTTATTCTGTGCTTTAAAGACGACCCAATACCCAAACTGCTTCAACCAAGAAACATTGACCACCAGTCCAAAAAATTGATTATTATATTTCAAACATTCTTTTGTATGCATAAAAAACCGGGCTACATCACATTAATAAAATGAAGTGTAATATGGACTTCAATCCTAAAAGAGGGTATCAGTTCCTTCATAATTATATAAATGCCTTGTTGTCGGACATTAACCAGCAGGTTCAGGTTTTTTTTGTTCCCCAAAAGCACATTTCAAACTATTTAAACTAATGGTCACATTAGAAGCACATCAGTCAACGAGACATTCAGTCAACGCTGATGACTAGACAAACATATCTATCATTAGTCAGTCATCAATCTATTGTTGGTGTGCATTACAGTCAGTCAGTCAGCTACAACGTAAACCTTGATACGTGCGTATATCCATTCAATTTGCCATGCTACATTAGCCGTAGAGAAATGAATTCATCAGTTCAAACCCTCAGGTGGGGCAACCGAATTGTATTTAACGAAAATTACAGTTACTCAGTAAAATCGGGAAACCATATCGTAAACGGTTAATTTGCAAATCTTCACTCCATCATCAATCCATTGTCTGACATTTCACTACTCATGCGTTTCATACAAATTCCATTGTGTTCCCACTCTTCCTTTCTGTTGATCTTCGCCCATCTTCTGCTGCCAGACATTACGTTGACACTCACGTCATATACTACTTATAAATAGCTCGCACCACAATATGACTGGTGAAGTTATGAACCAGTGAAATAAATTTTTTTAAAAAGGTGGAGAGAAAAACAAACAATCATGATGAATTCAAACAGTCGAACTGTCTGAATGGCAACAAAGAAGTGGGTGCATCTGTTGCATTGCAAACGATGTTAAGCCATGTCATGTGTATGTGATAAAGAATAATTCTTGAACATTGAATATAGACAACTTTTAAATATTTGGATTCAAGTGATCTGTATCAATCCTACGATCATTAATGATATTACTTACTTACGACTGTTACCCCCAATGGAGCATAGGCCGCTCACCAGTTTTCTCCAACCAACTCTGTCCTGGGCTTCCCTCTCCAGTTCTGTCCAATGTTTGTTCATTCCCCCCATATCTTTCTCTATTTCTCGGCGTAATGTATTCTTTGGCCTTCCTGTTTTCCTTTTGCCTTGAGGGTTCCATGTGAGGGCTTGTAATCATATTAATTATGAATGGATAACTGTCATTTGTTTGTTTTCTTTAAAACTCTGTATTTGTGACGATGATGCTGGTGGCGATGAGGGACACCACAAGCGGAACACATCTGATATGCTGGAAAAAAAAGCCGAAAGTAACAAGAATACTAATCAACGTCACTCACCAACTTAGAATGCATACATACCACTTTGTGAGCATGTACACGTAGGTGTGTATGTGTGTGTGTGTGTACCGGATGAGTGCCAGTCCACAACAAACACAATATCTCACATGAAGCGAATATTTATTCTCTTTGTTTGTTCACGTGTAAAATTAAATAAATTCTTCATGTTTAATATTGAAGAATTACAACGTGTACTGGTTTTTTTCTCATTTCAACTTGTAGAGAAAAAAAAGAGGTGTATATGAAATTTTGTTATACAGCAACAATTTTGAATGAGAGAGAGAGTGTGTGTGTGTGTGATTTATTTAAGCAAAATGTATACGTGTTTATTGAGAGAGAGAGGGAGATGCATAAGTTTTTTGTCATTAATTAATAACGTGATTAATTTGCCCCGAGGACAAGTGATTTTCAAATGATTTCATTGTATTTTGTTTTGTTTATTAAAAATTCCACCGAAATGGTCTTCGGTTTATTTATTATTATTATTATTATTATTTACAATGGAGTTAGTTGCATTCAAAGCTGTGTGCAATGATCATCAGTTTCATTGGTACAACTTCGTTGCACATGATTTGAGAAAGTATTTAAACTATAGACATAATGTAAGCTGATCACTGTCAATTACCTATATACTTACTATCTGCCAATAACTACTTACTACGCGTTTTATTGACTGCGTTACTACGGTTTCTGCGTTGGGATCACCAATTCTGTGATTGCGTTGAAATCGAACTAGGGCTCACCCCCTCTTTACTGGCTGACACAGTTTGACTCTGATATTAATGAACAATTGAATATTCTATGAAATAAATCTCCCCTGAGCGTAAACCTCGTTTGTGTGTCGGCGGAAATTAGAAGTCCCAAACAACGAATTTGGTTGGATAGATTTCTCTCATGGATTCATTTAAGCATAGAGATATGCGAATGAAAAGCATGCAGGCAGATCGAACCGAAATAGAGAGAAGGCGGACGAGACAACTCAATACAATGGAGCATGACTAAGTATTTATAATGAGATAGAAATTACTGTGAATAGAGTATAGATATCTAAGTTTAGTCATAAAACTTCTATTCAGCAAATTTATTGAAAGTTGACTATTTAAAGTCTCCTTTACTCACAGGCCGCACCTTTGTTACATTCACATTACCACTCAACTATTACAATTACAATGTGCTTACTAGTTACTAGCTTCGTGAGGAAATCCTCAGAGTTCTAGTGAGAAGACGTGACTAGTTGAAGTTCAATCCTGTTGGCTGTAGGCAGGAACTATCGATGACAAATGGATGAGGTCGCGCGCAAAAGCCTTAGATTGATCAGGGTTTTAGACATTAACACTATTGGATGCCGGATCAGTAGCCTAGAGGTTAAGCGTTCGTGCGCAAGACCGAAAGCCTTGGGTTCAAATCCCGCAAGGTTCAGGAGTCCTGGATGTGCACTGCCACTGATGAGTCCTATACCAGAACAAAATGGCCGTATTTCGGTGTTCCTAGGTTTCTAATGGTGGTCTAACAATGATTAATTGATGATTTCAACGTGTTGAAAACACTGAATCAGCAAAAAAATGTTACTACTACAATTTTTATTTTCTGTTTTAGCTTTCCTATACAAGTGTATCAGCTTTGGTTGTTTGGCGACCATCTAAAGAGAATGAACCGACACTTCGATTTCTTTTCGTATCACCAAATGCTCATCAAACACGTATTCTATCAAGCCTTGATGCATTGGTCAGTAGTTTCATTTATCTTCGTCATCCTAAAGCTATTCCAGCGGAAATTGATCGGAAACGACCATCACAACCTTCAAGTGCGGGTAATTAGTATATATATTTATCGTGTTATTATTATTATTGTAGTTGTTTTGAGAAGTACTTTTTGTCTGGTTCGAGCTGTGTTTTGCAGTGCAAGAGTAGATTGGAAGAAAGCTAAGGGCGGCTAAACCAAAACATGTCACAAATGCATGAAGTCACTGACAAGTGGACTGATTCATGTTGGTAGATGTAGACTACCTACCTGGTTGGGGTCCGCGAGACGATAGTCATTGGTGGTTAGAGACCTTGGACGACATGGCTCAAAATCGCTTGCAGTGGCGCAGATGCATCCACTCCTTATGTTCCCTCAAATTCTAATCTGAATTCCTCATAATCTCTACCTTTCTCCTTCTAAATTTATCTTACTGAATTATACTTCTCGAATCATATCTTCGCTCCCTAATCTTCTCCATTACTGCTAATATTTCTACTATCTCTACTACTATGGAATTTGAAGTGACAGTTGCGTCTCTGTACTGATGGGGTTTGGCAACCTGAACTGATGTACTTGCGTACGAAGTTCTACGTTGTATCTGTCTGTCTGTCTGTTTGTCTTTGTCTGAATCACTCTCTATAGAAATATAATTATTCTGTGATAAGTTTCTATTGGTGTAATTATTATTATCATTATTTTTATTCTTTTCATTTAACAAAAAACAGCTTCACGTCGTCCAACGATGCCACCAGCAGCAACTCATGCTAGTAATGAAGGCAGTATTAATTCAGTTGGACAAACTCATCATAACACGACTACTACTACTACTACCACTACTCGACCATCTCATGTTGTATTGAAGAAGGGGACAACCGCGGCAGGTACACATGACAGCGCAACACATCGACCTCCATCGTCTAAATCTTTGGCAAGTAGTAAAACAATACAATCTCATGCTAAACCTCCCATTGGCAAGACAAATCAAATGACTAAAAATGCTCATGATGATGTACAGTTGAATTCTAAAGATGTAACATCTCCACAACAAGAAGTTCATGATAATGGTATGTATGTATTTTATTTTGACATAGATTACAATGTGTGTTTCAAACTAGTAAAATGATTCAATGTCTTGTAAATTGTATGAGTTTTTATTTGTTGTTTTTTTTGAAAAAATTCTTAACATTATCAATTTACTCTTTGTAGCGATAATAGATATCGAGTGAACAATTGTCCTCACCTTCACACCTTTCACCAGCCGGTTATTGCATAACTTCTTTTCGATATGATACCACTTCAAGATTGTGACTGCTATCGTGACATGGTCGTTGGGCTTGCCTGTCTGAGCTATATTGGCTGGAACCTACGTTCCTGAAGGTTCTACCATACCAGGCAGGTCGATTGGAGAACGATCAGACTAAAAGCGGCTACTTAACGTCTGAGTGCGAAATCTTACCACTCATTGTAGTGGAGTGCGACAGCAGTAGGGTGCTTCTATCAGACAACCAGCATCTGTAGCGATGCTGCCTTCTCACAACGGAAGGAAGGGGTTAGAAAATGTCACATCTCACCTCAACCCACAGATTTCTGTGTCCTGCAGTTAAAGCCATTTGAATTGCGGAGCTAACACTTTAAATACTTGACATGAAGAGCCGCGTGTGATCAGCTTCAAGCATTTGTCCGTTGGGCTCTGCGATCACGATCCCCTGTCGCCAAGACCAACACTGACCGTGCTTATTTTTCAGGTTCCTCAAGAAACACCCTTCCACGATGTAGGCAGCCTGAAATTGACATCCGCCTAACAATAGATAGTACCCAACTGGTCACAAGTCCTTCCTTTTATTATTATTATTATTATTATTATTATTATTATTATTATTATTATTATTACCATTTCACGTCATTCTATTTTACTATAAACTACTATTATAACAAATAAATTTAACTGAACTCATCGTATGGGGAAATTTTCTTCACAAGAATAATTGCCTTTCATTCCTTACGATCGATTTCTATTATATAATCACTTTGTTAGTCGAAAAGTTTTAAGAACAAATAATGTCAGTGAAATAATCTTTATTTTTTTTGGTGTACTGTATACTACGCGTCTTTCTTTCTCTCATTTTTCTCCGTTAACAACCTGAAATCATGTATCACTTCAAGTGAGAAGTTGATTTATGTGTCTTATCTCTTCGAACATGTTCATAAGTCAATAACAGATTCAAAGCCTATGTATAATAAAAACACGTTGATAATTGTTTCTAAATAGATTTCTTTCTGAAGTTTACCGTATCTATCTATCGATATTATTAGACTGTAATTATTATAATTTGTTAAGCATGCATGTAAGCACGTCAATTTGATATGCTTGAACTATCACGAGTTTACCATAGTCAGTAAACAAGACCGAGGATCGAGGATCCGGCGACACGACATGCTACTCTAATCCGAGTGTTCCAACCCCACCCATTGAATAAAAGTAGAAGACTCGATATGAAGTAGAACTTGTATTCTACAAGCATCCAGAAAGTACGAGGTCCGAGTCCAGAAGAGAATCAGGATCCCGGACTAGGGATCCGTGTTCTGGTCATAGAACGTTACAAATAACGCGTATTTATACAGTCTGTAACATTGACAGTTAGGGTGACCAATGAGAAACAACACTGAAGAAGTACGTGACACACTGATAGCCAGGACGACCATAGGAATTGACCAGTAGGAATTAGACTTACAAAAAATAATTCTCTGTGGATATTAAATGAATATCCTAACATGATCATTATTATTATAGTGCCCCCTAAACGATTTACCCTCCGAATAATAACCATGTTGTACACTTTGCATTGTGCTCGCTGTGCGTATGCGCGCGTGTGTGTTTGTGTGTCTTTATACTCGTCAAGGATCATTTTGTTTTTGTCTGCTTGCTTGCTTCTGCTCTCTTCTCTTTTTCGTTTGGTTCCATTCTTTCTTTCATTCAAAAAATACACACAATAATTAAAGCACACACAGAGAAAATATTAGAATCAGTGATTAGATTTGATTTTTGGGTGTCCTGAATTTCGTTCTTCCTCCTCTTCTCCTTCTTCTTCTTGTGTTTTTGATTTTTTTTTAAATAAAAACGCCCCATTTTTATTGATTGATTCGTGATAGTTTGGAAGAAGAATATTATTTCCTCATTTTTCTTCTTTCTAACTGTGTTGACTAATTCATTCATTCATTCACTGGGATTATTATTATTCATTGCATGGTAAGAAATGAATAATGAACATGATTAATTCACCTAATTATTAACTTTGTACATGCACACAAACATACGTATGTATGTATGTATGTATGTATGTAGAGTCAGCGTATTTCTTTAGTTTGAAAACTGATTTAACTAGCAATTAAATTATGAACAACACTTTTGTGTGTTCAAAATGGAAGCTCCTCGGTTCGAATCCGGCGAGTGATAGGGGCTGTGGATATGCGCACTGCTGATGAGTTCCATATTAGGACGAAACAGCTGTCCAATGCTTCCAGTCAGTCGGTTAGAATGTAGTATTGCATAGGGTGGTCTAACCATGAATAATAAATTCGTCATTTCAACGTAGAACAATATTTTTATTTTCACTCTTAAGTAGATTGAACTACCGTTGGAAACCTTGAAGCATTAGATAGTTAAAGCCAGTTTGTGATTAATTTACTATGAAAATCATACGATGATCTACACAATCATGTGCTTATAAATGATTTCTCTTTAAGATGTGTTCCCTAAAGTTCTTGTGAGAAGCTGTGATTAGTGGAGTTGTATATGTGTCGGTTGTAAATCTGCCCTTCCCAAGGTAATGGACGGAGATTGAACAAGATAATGGATTGATTGATTGAAGTTAGTCATTAACACCATTTGATGCTGGTTCTGTGTCCACACTAAAAACTAAAGATCCTGAGTTCGATGACCTCCTGCGGGGTCGTATAGGTACATTGCTGAAGAATCTCATACTAGAACAGAACGGTCGTGTAGTCAATCTGCGTTTAATAACATGGCATTGTTTAATTACCAATGATGACCTCATGGAATAGTTTCATGTCTTGGTTTGGCCACCAGTATTTTTATTTCAACTTACTTATGGCTATGTCAGCAAACATCGAAGTATACAGTGGTTATCTATATATGCAGTGCATGTCAACAACATTTCAATTAATGAACGTTCACTATCTTATCAAGCTTAGTACTCTAATATCTTCATAAAAAGTGTTGTAAACGATATGAACTATCGTTCATACGAACACATTTTCATCAACTGATTCAGATAAACATGAATTTTGCAATGAGTAAGTGGAAGAATGATGGTTGGCGATTGATGCCCCATTTAGCGGGGGTGAGGTGTAACAGGTGAAGTTTGCAATAAACAATTCAAATAAATTGCATAATGTGTACTGTTTTTTTTCTCTCTTCACCCTTTTAACCGATCATCATTTTATTTATGATCATTATACAGATATTTCCACATCATCCAATCTTATACCATCGGAATTATTGAATACCGATAACAATTCTGATATTCATAATTTATCCAATGATAATCATCCAATCATTAATGGTGATATGATGCATAATATTAAAACCGCCAATGGTTTTACACATGATCTATCTGAATTTGATCCAGCAGTTAGTTTAGCCGAAGAGACAAGTGATGATGTGGATGTTGGCTTATTAATTCATCATGGTAATTCATCAATGAAATTACAAGATTATCATAATAATAATGACGATGATGATGATGTTGGTGAGGCTGATGCGGAGAATGCATTTATGTCTGGTGATAATCCTAGTAACACTAATACTACTACTACTACTAATAATAATAATAATTTAAAAGATACTCATCCAATGATATCAGGGGATTATGAAGAACATGATCCTATTGCATCATGGGGATCACCGCAGAATTTGCCTATGCCGCCTACAGGTAAGAAGAAATAAAAGATTTTAATCTCCTATTGTGTATAGTTGGTTAATTTTTGATTTTTTTTATGGTTTTATTATTAATGGTATTGTAATGAATGAAGACACATCAAGACCAGGCGCGGTAGTATAGTAGTGTATTTTGCTAACAAAAATATGTGTGCACTTTATCTGCAGAATTCTATGTGTAAAACAACCAGATTACTGACTGTCTTTTGGTTTTCAAAACATATGATGACGATACCATCAGTCGGCCAGCTAGAACGTAGAAATTTGTACATACGTACATCAGTTCAGATTGCCATACCACACAGAGATAGCATTGTCACATCAAATCGCATATTAGTAGACACTATACATTCAGATTTGACACTGTTCTCTCTAGTAGTAGTAACTTATTGACGACTCTTCGCTACTTATGAATTATGTTTCGAATAGTATCTACCATATCAGTCATATCATTCAACCGTATCCGATAATTCAGTCAAAATGTTTGAAACAAAATATGTCTATGGGTATGGGTTTTTGGGTATATATTTTATCAATTTTATACTCAAATTGATTCAACTTATCGATATGCATAGACTGCAGGTTGTACGTTGATTTTGGTCAATTAATTGACTTCTTTCCTGATCTATGTCTGACAATGTCGTTATCATATTCAGTCAATCAGTCGGTCATTTAGGAATAGGGCAACATAGAATGAAGCATTTATGTTTTGTTTTAGTTCAAGTCGCGTAATACACTCAACACCTCAGCATCACATCAAGAAAGAAACAGAGAGAGCATAGAAATTCAACACATCAATGAATGTATTGGTTTGAATTATGTTTTCTGGTTAGCGTTTTTTAGCGAGTTACTTTTCTTCAGGATGAGGTCGCTATCTCCAATCCCAACCCTCCTCCACCAGCAGTCCCAGAGGGGTTCCGGGCGAAGTTAATGAATGTATTGGGTGAATTTAATTGTGAGTCTCATCAGTGCTGATGGCCTGGTGTTTGACGAAATTTCAGCATGGATACAGAAGGCTCGATTGGCTTTTGCCAACCTTAGGCCTAGGCAAGATATCCGTTTGATGATTAATGGTCGGGTGTACTGCGAAACAGTTCGCTCTGTCCCATTATACGGATGCGAAACATGGCTGGTAAGAGTAGAGGACATTCTTAGGTTGCCTGTCTTCGATCATGTGTGTCTCCGAAGCATTGTTCTTATATCCTGAGACAGCCGATTAGGCAATCCTGTGGTTAGCAGACGAGTACTAGGTAAGGATGGCAAATCAATAGATGAAGTATTGAAACTTCATCAGTTGAGGTGGTTGGGACATGTGTTACGAATGCTTAACCACCGACTGCCTCGTCGAGCTATGTTTTGTGGTGTAGGAGTAGGATAGAAGAAAACTAAAGACGGCCAAACGAAAACATGACAGAAATCCATGAAATCACTGACAAGTGGACTGAGTCATGTTGGTAGATGTAGACTACCTGGTTGTGGTCCGCGAGACGAAAGTCACCAATGGTTAGAGACCTTGATTGACATGGCTCAGTTGTGGTTTGAACTGACAGTTGCGTCCCTGTGCTAATGTGATACGGCAACTTGTATTGATGTACGTATGTACGAAGTTCTACGTTGTAACTGACTGATTGAATTGTGACAAATCGTGGAACACTTGAGATGGAATGCTGAAAATCGGCCAATCGAATGAATTTTGACAAACTTATGATCTGGTAACTGAAATGATTAGAGTTACACAACTTTTTACTGTTTTTATTACAAAATATTTTTAATTGAATATATTGTCGGTTTGGTTTTTATTTTTTCTGGTAAATGTCATTGATTTCATTTTCTTCAATCACAGGTTCAGAAGTTGGCAAAAAATCTGAAGTGGCTGCTACAACAAACGGAGAAAAGAAACCACCTGCATGTATGTGTTAGTTAATTTTGCGAATATTATTATTATTATCATTATTCTGATCAATAATTTATTTTCTGACATTTTTTATTGTTTCATTGCTATGAATTCTATGAATAATTCATAACGAGTTATTAAGAATACTGTCAAAACTGACAAAACTCATCCGATATCAACATGGTTGATTCAATGTGCCAAAGAGATTCGGCACAACAGTCAATTTTACCTAAATTGATATTCACATATTTAATGTGTACAAATTGTTGACTTGATCTAGTAGTAGTAGTAGTAGTAGTAGTAGTAGTAGTAGTTGAACAAGTAAGTATCAAAATACTTTGTAAATTTGTGTGTTTATGCGACAGCCACTGGAATACAGTTTTATAACATGGTAGTGAAGGAGAACTCAGGTGAGGACAACCGAATTGTATTTATCGCAAATTACAGAGTTACTCAGTAAAATCATCGGAAAACCATATCGTAAACAGTTCAGTTGCAAATCTTCAATCCATTGTCTGATATTTCACTGTTCATGCGTTTCATACAAATTCCATTGTGTTCCCACTCTTCCTTTCTTAATTTTCCCCGATCTTCTGCTGCCAGACATTACGTTTACGCTCGCGTCATATACTACTTATAAGTAGCGCGCACCACAACATGACCTTAACCACTGTGGGTTTGAGACCATATCGACCATGACATCATGGTTCATATTCGTTTGCAATGGAGCAGATACATGCATTCTTTGGCTTCTCTCAAATTCGAGTCTTTTGAATTCCTAATCATCTTTATCTTTCTCTCTTTAAAGTTATTTCACTGGATTATAATTTTTCGAAACATACCTTTCAACCCTAATCTCCTTCTTTATGACTAATGCTTCTACTAGTACTACTACTACCTCTACCACTATGGGATTTGAATTGACAATTCGATCTCTCTGTGGTAATGTGGTACGACAACTTGAACTGATGTACGTATGTATGAATTTCTGCTTTGCAGCTGACTGACTGACTGTGTATTTGACAAATGTTTCGGTTTTCTGTACTTTGAGAAGCTTAATTTGTGCAAATTTTATTCATACACTGGTTGAAACCTTCACAGTTATCATAGAATATGATTATTATTAGAGACATTGATTGTGTGACATTGCTCAAAATCGTTTACAATAACCGAGATTCACTCATTCATCATTTGTCCTTATTTATTAGCTCTTAAGTTTTAAAATTGTTGAATACAATTTTTTTTCTTTCATAAATATTCAGATTCTCGTGAATCTTAGGAAACGAGTACTAGATAAGGTTGGCAGATCGATAGATGAAGTGGTGAAACTTCATCAGTTGAGGTGGTTGGGACATGTGTTACGTATGCCTAACCACCGACTGCCTCGACGAACTATGTTTTGTGGTGTAGGAGTAGGTTGGTAGAAAGCTAGGGGCGGCCAGACCAAAACATGGCAGAAATGCATGAAGTCACTGACTAGTGGACTGAGTCATCTTGGTAGATGTAGACTATCTGGTTGGGGTCCGCGAGACGAAAGTCACCAATGGTTAGAGACCTTGAACGACATGGCTCAAAATCATTTGCAATGGCGGAAGTGCATCCATTCTTTGTGTTCTCTCAAATCCTAATCTTCTGGATTCTTCAGCACCTCTAGTTTTGTCTTTCTAACCTTATCTCACTGAATTAATACTTCTTGAATAATATCTTCGAACCCCCTAGTCTTCTTCATTACCATTAATACATCTACTATCTTTATGACTATGGGATTTGATTTGACATTTGCGTCTCTGTGCTAATGTGGTATGGCAACATGAACTTATGTACATACGTACTAAGTTCTACGTTGCAACTGACTGACTGACTTCTCATGAATCATATTACCTTATAATACGGTTACTACTTCTACCTATGATATTTGTCTTGATTACTTCATCTCATTGTATAGACATGTTATGTCAAACTTGAACTGTTGGTTGCATATGGATGATATTCTCTATGTTCTATACATTGTTTATACTTGATTAAGTGACTTTTCATGTAATCTAATTAACCAAGCTGAAATAGGAGGACAATGAATTGTAAATCTTCAAAGTCAATTGCTTCAATCACAACACTACTTAATTTCTATCCGTACGACTAAACTTCCCCCCAAATTAATTTAAAACATCGATTCATGTTTATTTTACTGTATAATTGTTCAAATGTACTACTACTATATAATGCTGAATGTTGGTTCCAAACAAAACTTGTTTACTAGCATTTTATGTCGCTCAGTCAGTCAGCTCTACAACGTTGAACTTCGTACTTACGTACTTACATCAGTGTTCAAGTTGACTTATCACATTAACACAGAGAGAGAGAGAGATGGGATTGTCAGTTTAAAAACCACAATGGTAGAGATAAGTGAAATATATTAGCGGTTATGGCGAAGATTACAGATCGAAGATATTATTCAAGAAGTACAATCCAGCGAATTAAATTTAAAAAGAGAAAGATAAAGGTTATAAGGTATTCAGAAGACTAGAATTTGAGACAACTCGGAATGAATGCATCTGCACCATTGCAAACGATTGATTTTGAGCCATGCCATACCAAGGTTTTTAATCATAGGTTTCTTTCTTACATCTGAATAACTTTTCCTCTAAAGCAATAAATCCCATCAAAATTCTAAAGCAAATACACATATTGTTGTAATTCAATTGATTTCTCGTGGAAAAAAGAAAACTATTTTGCCAAGCTGTTCATTTGTAGAGTAGTTACTTTTCTGCATTAGAGTATGATAATCTGTATGGAGTAGTTACTGACAATAAATTGTTTTTGTAATCTTTTTCTCCCTCTCCCTTCTCTCCTTTTTTCTCTCTCTCTCTCCCTTTCTCCCTGTAGCTCATTTGACAAGAAGAGTTACATCTGTCAATAGTAATACTGGGAGTGCAGCATTGGGCGCGACAAAAAGTGGTATGTTTAAAATTATTATTATTATTGTTATTAGTAGTAGCAGTAGTAGTAGGTGTCGTCAGTTTTCCCTATTTTACAGTTTGCAATATATGTAGTTACTACTAATTCGTTCGATCAATAGTTATTTATGCATAAACTATGTCGAATCTGACTGTATACTACTAATGCATCATTGGCAACAATAATCAATATTGTCGGTTGTGATTTGAGTTTTTCGAAACTCTTTTTCCAGTCAACAATGATTAACAGACAGACAGACAGACAGACAAATACAACGCAGAACTTCGCAAAAATAAGTACATCAGTTCAGGTTGCCATACCACGTCAGCAAAGAAACACAACTGTCAGTTCAAATCCAAGAGTGATAGCAATAATAGAAGTAGTATTAGGAGTAATGGAGAAGATTAGGGAGCGAAGATATGATTCGAGAAGTATAGTTCAGTAAGATAAATTTAGAAGAAGAAAGGTAGAGATTATGAGGAATGCAGAAGCTTAGAATTAGAGAGAACACAAAGAGTGGATGCACCTGCGCCATTGCAAACGATTTTGGGCCATGTCACTATTCAAGGTCTCTAACCATCGGTGACTATCATCTCGCGGACCTCAACCAGGTAGCAGTGACTGACATAAAATCAAAAAAACTTTCAAATGAGATTTTGGTATATAGTGTTTATCGACATTATTTTTCAAGGTTTCACTAAATTATAGGTGGTTAATGAAGCGCTCGCTAGTTTATTGAAAGTTGCAGTTTTCTTATATCTAACTAGCTAGCTTCAACTTATGTGAATGCGGTTTGGTTAGGGTTAGGTGTTACCGAATTTCCTCTCGCTAACAGTGTAACCTATATTCAGTAAGAATCAACAATGCATTGATATCTGTAGCTTTCAAGTATCAAAAACGTTTAATGAAGTAGTTAACATATCATACTCGACTTACTCAGAATGAATACAGTCAGTCAGTCAGATGCAACGTAGAACTTCGTACGTAAGTACATCCGTTCATGTCGTCATACCACATCAGCACACGGATATAATTGTCAATTCAAATCCAATAGTACAAGAGGTAGTGAAGGTATTAGAAGTAATCGGAGAGGTTAGGATTAGGAGATATTATTCAGGAAGTATGATTTAATGAGAAAAGTTTAGAAAGTCAAAACTAGAGTTGTTGAAGAATCCAGAAGATTAGGATTTGAGAGAACACAAAACATAAATGCACCGGCGCCATTGCGAACGATTTTCAGCCATGTCATTCAGGGTATCTAACCATCGATTATTATCATCTCGCGGACCCCAATCAGGTAGTCGACAATGACTTCATGGATTTATGCCATGTTTTGGTTTGGCCACCCCTAACTTTCTTCCAACCTACAGAATGAATACATATCCTTTGAAATTCATCAACGCCTAAACGATTCAGCCCTAAAACCAAGTCAAAGATAACTAAAGTCCTCAGGAAGTGTGTATTCTTGAAGCTGACACTATCAGTGAACTAATAACTCGAAAGAGCTAAAAAGCTTTGCATATAGCATTTGCTGAAGTCAAAAACTTGTTTCTCTGTTCTACAATCAATCATCCATGGTGTTATGAGAAACATGAATAAAGATTTCTTGAATTAAGTGAAAGTATTGTGATGAGGCCTCATTCTACTGCTTGCTACCTGGAAGTTTGTGCTGATGATGATGTTGTTCTGAAAATTAATGAGAGTTTCATAACCTAAACATCTAGGTCACCGAATGAATTTCATAGAAAGCATTCACAGTGAATAACAAGTTATAAGGTGTAGTAAGAAGGCGATTTTGATTGCTTACTTACTCCTGTCAATGTCCTCTCTCTCCAATGAAGCACAGGCCGCCTACCGGTATTCTCTAACAGACTCTATCTTGAACTTTCCTTTCTAGTTCTGCTGTTCATTCTTTCCATGTCTGCTTCCGATTCTCGACGTAATGTGTTCTTTAGTCTTTCGGTTGGCTTTGATGATTCCAAGTGGATGCTTTGTTCAATGTGTGTCCTATCCGGACTATGGTTGCAATAAACAATATCTCTTTTCTTAAATATTATACCCATAGTTGTTTCTCTGTACTGGTGAGTCTCATCAGCGCTGATGGCCTGGTGACTGACGAAATCTCACCTCGGATACAGAAGGCTCGATTGGCTTTTGCCAACCTGAGTCACTTATGGCGTAGGCGACATATCCGTTTGCTGACTAAAGGACAAGTGTACTGTGCAGCAGTTCGCTCCGTCCCACTGTACGGATGCGAGACTTGGCCGTTAAGAGTAGAGGACATTCGTCGGTTATTGGTTTTCGATGATCGATGTCTCCGAAGCATTGCTCGTGTACCATGGGACAACCGTATAAACAATGCTGTCGTTAGGAATCAATAGATGAAGTAATGAAACTTCATCAGTTGAGGTGGTTAAGACATTTGTTACGTATGGCTAACCACCGACTGCCTCGACGAGCTATGTTTTGCAGTGTCGGAGTAGATTGAAAGAAAGCTACGGGCGGCCAAACCAAAACATGGCAGAAACGCATGAAGTCACTGACAAGTCCGAACCAATTTTATATAGACAACAGTGATCATAGAGGTACTAAATAATTATGTGAACATCTGGTCAAAAGTCGTCACCCGTGAATTTCAGCCGTGTTGAGTGTGAAGCCAGTTGTTACCCATTGAAGATAATGAATGCAGTCACACAAAACCTTAAATTGATCAAAGTTAAATATCAACACCATCGGCTACTGAAGTTAAGGGTTCCAGCATGAGGCCGAAGTTCAATTTCTCAGTATTTATAGTAATATATTACAACTCTATTGATTGGCCTGCTTCTCATTGAATGTTTTAAACTGTTCATGAGAGTAATTCAAACGATGATATCTGAAGGAAGAATATTCTTTTCAAAAAATTATCATTAGGTTCTACAATTAAATTATCCAGTCGATAGAATCTGATGACAATTTGTGATTTCATTTTTTATGTATGCCCAATTTTTAATTTGCTATTTTCAATAATCCCAATGGTTGTTTTTATCCTTCTTCCTTTTTTCTCTTCACTGTATTCTACCCACCCATAAGGTCGTCTTTCACTTGCACCACGTACTGGTAGTCTACACTCCACTATGAACAATCAATCAGTCAATTATCCACCTGGTTATACTATTGCATCGGGTCATATTTCCGGTACAACAAAAGTTCCTCCATACGACAAAGTCAAACCAATTTATGTTGATGTTGCTTTTCTACCAGGTAGTGGTAATCCAAATTACATCGACGCGGAATGGTTTAAACGTGTACGAGCTCGATATTATGTTGCTACCGATGTAAGACCAACATGTTCACTGTTAGAATCATTAATTGTCGGTAAAGAATCATGGAGTGGTGGGGAAGATGCGCAACTTGATGTATCATTAATATTAGCTTATGAAACTGAAGATATATTAATATGGCTTGGTGTTAATGCTGGACGTCTTAATCATTGTCATGTGAATGTGGCTTCAGTGATTTCACGTTCATCTATACAAATATTAAATGATGATGATGCTGATGATAATCATAATACCGCAATGAATAACAAAAACAATAACTATCCAGGCTATCGTATTGATTTATTTTGAAGAATAAGAAGATGAGCAAACGATTTTCCTTGTCATCATCATCATGTCAATATTATTATTATGATTATTATTATTGCTAGTTTCTGAAATGAGATAAATCTCAAGCCTCATTTGTCCACTTTTTATTATTATTATTATTATTATTATTATTATTATTATTATTATTATTACTAAAACTTTAATCAATGTGGATTCTCTTTTTTTTCACACACACACACTCTCTCTCTCGAACAGAAAAGTATTCCATCGTTTCTACATATATCTCCTTGTGTGTGTGTGTGTGTGTGTGTGTGCTGACTGATACGCCTATTCATTATTTATATATTTACTTATTGACAATTTACAAAACGACATTATTTACCTAGTAGTAATGATGCTACGTCGTGTAATACACTAAAAAGTGTGTGTGTGCGTGTGTGTGTGTGTACGTGTTCCTCTGTGTGTGTATATCTGTCAAGTTTTTCTTTTTGTTAACTAGTTTCTCAATTATGATTATTATTATTATCTGCTTAGTAGAGACATTGTCCGTTAGTTATGTTGCTGTTGTTCTCATCATGATGATCATCGTTGTTGTAAGAGATTCTTTGCTTTACACACATGAACTGATGGAAATGCACCACTCTCCAAGACAATGGTGCAGTTTATTGATGATTGTCTCAACCGCTTGCTTGCTTGCTTGCTTGATGGCCTGCCTAATTCGCACATATACACGCATATATATATATATATATATATATATAAAGTGAATTTTTTTTTCAATGTTTGTGTCTGCTTCACGACTTTCTGTAACACTCATTTGAATTGTGTGTGGACAATTAATTAATTTCTTGACTGAGCGTGTGTAGTAGCCTATCTCGTCCGCTGCTCTTTTTCTATATCAATCAATGTGAGGAGAATTGACTAACTAACTAACTATGCATATACAATTCTATATATATACATATATATATGCAGAGCCAAACGCATTTCCATATGTATTCCTTTTGGAGTATATAAACGTATTCTACTTATTATTTATTTGTTTATTCGCCTTTATATATACATATAAATTGGTTATTGCATTCTTCTTGAACACGCACATTCCTTATTCTTATTGCTACTGCGTACATTATAATTATTATTACTATTATTATATTTAAAGGGTGGAGAACAATGGGAATGCATAAAATGGAAGAATTTTATATATATGAAATATATCTAAACATTCATTCATTCATCCATCTCCATCGTGTTGTTGTCTTCTTCTACTCAATTGTTGTTTTGCCCTCTTTTAATTTTTTCTCATTTTGACACTGGTGTCTCAATGGTCGAGAATCAAGTAATACACAATTGTTGGTTAGGCGTTGATGTTATGTTATTCTGTGTGTGTATGTGTGTGTGTTCGTGTTGTTCTGTATTGTTCGTTTTTTAACAAGAATGTAATGATGTACTGTTTAGGTTATTTATTTTATCCGTCACGTCTTCTCAACTAGAACTCCGAGAATCTCCTCACGAAGCTAGTCACTAGTGAGCAAGCACTGTTACGATATTTTGGGGCAGAGTTTTGGAGGTTTGCGATTTTTACACATTTGAAATCATCAATCAATCATTGTTAGACCACCATTAAAAACCTGGAAGCACTGTAGGATGGCCGTTTCGTCCTGGTATGGGACTCATCAGTGGCAGTGCGCATCCACGACTCCTGCTCCTCGCAGGATTCGAACCCGGGGCCTTTGGCATTGTAGGCGAACGCCTTATGGGTGAGGTCGCGCAAAATCCCTAGATCAATCAGAGTTAGACATTAACACCGTTGGATGCCGGCACAGTGGTCCGATAGTAAGGCGTTCGCCCACAATGCCGAAGGTCCCGGGTTCGAATCCTGCGAGGAGCAGGAGTCGTGGATGCGCACTGCTGATGAGTCTCATACCAGGACGAAACGGCCGTCTTTCGGTGCTTCCAGGTTTCTAATGGTGGTCTAACAATGATTGGTTGATGATTTCAAATACTTATTTTGTGTTAGAATTGTGAACACTATTCACTCATTGGTTTGTCAATGACCAAATGTAAGCTTGGAGTAGGATTCGAATGTGAAATTATCTGAGTAAGCAATGCTGTCGTTAGGTAACGAGTACTAGATAAGAATGGTAAATCAATCAATGAAGTATTGAAACTTCATCAGGACATGTGTTACGAATGCGCAGCCACCGACTGCCTCGACGAGCTATGTTCTGTGGTGTAGGAGGAGTAGGTTGGAAGAAAGTTAGGGGCGGCCAGACCAAAACATGGCAGAAATCCATGAAGTCATTGACTAGTGGACTGAGCCATGTCGGTAATTGTCGACTACCTGGTTGGGGTCCGCGAGATGATAATAATCGATGGTTAGAGACCTTGAATAACATGGCTCAAAATCGTTTACAATGTGGCAGATGCATCCATGCTGTTCTCTCAAATTCTAGTTTTCTGAGTACCATGTGTAACCCTTATCTTTCTCCTCTTACATTTATTTCGCTGGATTGTACTTCTTGAATAATAACATCGAACCCTAATCTTCTCCATAACCGCTAATACGTCTGTCTCTACCACAATGGGATTTAAACTGACAATTACATCTCTATGCTAATTGCTTTATAGCAACTTGTATTGATGTACGTACGTACGAAGTTCTACGTTGTATGTGATTGATTGAAAAGAGATATCTCTGTACTCGTGGAAAAACTATTTACGTTTATCTTATCTCAAGTTGTTGTTCCTCAGGTTTCACGGTCACTTTCTAGGAAGTAATCAAGATCAGTTTTATTTTTCACTACTGTCAAGTAGAACTATTTTTCCACAGTTTAGATAGGTACTTATCATGATAGGGACATTCTTCGTACATATTGGGTAATATTGAAATGTTAATTGATTTAAAATTATATAAATCAGATCAGCGAATTACATTTCAGAAAGGGCGAACAGATTGTTAGGTTTGTGTCCATCAGATGCTCACAATACAGTAAATGATCCTTCGAATACTACCATATATCTCTTTGTTTCTATGGCTACTTTACATCGTATATTTTGACCAACGTTTTTTGAAAACAATACATTTAACACCGAGAAGGTTAACTATTGTCTCGTCATTGTCACTCTGTCGAAAATGGCCATTTTTCGCTTGTCAGTCAGTCAATTACAACTTTGAACTTCGTACGTACGTACGTACATAAGTTCATGTTACCATATCACATTAGCACGGAGACGCGATTGTCAGTTTAAATCCTATAGTATAAGTGTTATCAGTAATCGAAAATTTTAGGGTTCAACGATATCATTCAAGAATTATAATTCAGTGAAATAAATTTACAAAAAATAGAGGTGATAAGGAGGAATACAGAAGATTAGAATTTCAGATAACACTTTGGATGCACCTGCACCATTGCAAACGAATTTGAGCCATGTCATTTTTGGTTTGTATAATCCAGGTATTTTTCATTACTTGTTATATACCTGTTTACACTCAAAATCAGTATACGTCGTTCTTACATAATTTAGTTCAGTTTCTCAAAAGATATTTGGTCACTGCTGACCCCGTATAATTAATGTGAAAGTTCGGCAACTTGGAGTAGAACCATGTTGTATGTAGGTTTCACAAATGAATCATTTCTCTTATTTTGAAGGTTCTATCTAAATCATTAGTATAGTAATTAGTTGTTATCAATATAAATAACCAATCAAAGGTGACCGAATGGTAAGGTCAATTGACGATGACTAGAAATGTCCTAAAGGATAGATGCATATCATTGGTCAAGAAACAGATTTATTTTCTAAAGAGGAGAAATACATAAATAAATATATGAGCAAATATACATGTATATTATTCGGTGACCCAATAGTCTTTCCTTCCACTTTTGCCTTCTCGCCCAAGTAGTCATTTTGGAGGTTGATGCGTATCACGTTCACATCTGGGCAACTGTATATCATAACGGTTATCAATTATTATTGTCACCTTTCACAGCGACATTATTATAAACTTCGTACTGCGATAATACTACATAGATCATGCCTATTTCAATGTCATATGATGTTAACTCCTCGTGTCTTAATCGGGTGAATTCAATACAGGTGAATCACATATTTTGGCTAGATCAATGAGAGGACAAAGTTCATTTGAAAAATATAACGCTTTACATTTCAAACACACTTGTCGCCTACTTACCAAAACCTAACATGTCAAATGAAAATTAATAAAGGTCAATTAAATAAAAGTTCAAATAAACGCACAGTGATAATTATAAATAAAAAGAATGGGAGATTGTTGTTGTGTTACCAGGTTAATCTCAAGGTTATGACAAATTGTTTTCTTACACAGAGAGAGAGAGATTTTAATTTGCCAATAGTTAAGGCTTCCTTGAAAATTTCTATACAACATTTTATACGCTGTATGAATGTCAATTATGTGCTTTAATTATCGATGAACATGGTTTTTTTTCCCCCATGTTTATCAGATAATTTGACATTAACTGACTTCTTAATTGCATTGTTTGATTACTCCTCTCTATGTATGTGTGCTCACACGAACATGTTAATTATTAAATGCACTGAAATATGACGTAATTGTCCGTGTAATGTCTAGGCCTATTTGAAATCAATCATAACCACGTTTTTTGTAGCGTAGTATGTTTTCTCGACGGTTACTTTTAGTGAGGTCGCGCAAGATCCCTAGATCAACCAGAGTTAGACATTAACACCGTTGGATGCCGTCCCAGTGGTCCGATAGCAAGGCGTCCGCCTACAATGCCAATTGTCCCGGGTTCGAATCCTGCGAGGAGCAGGAGCTGTGAATGCTCACTGCTGAGGGGTCCTATGCTTTCAGTTTGTCTTAAAATCATAATATGTTGATTGACCTTGACATGTATTTATAAATTTTTGTGAATGACTGTTTGATATTAATTTTTCAAGAAATACTACTGGTTGGAAAATGAAAATTTCAGTATTGCGAAAAAATTATTATTATACCCGACATGAGACAAAGGGCAGTATAAGAG